GTGCTTTCTATATGCCTAAGTTCACTTCAAATCTTCTTTCTGTTAAGAAAACGACTAAGGACTTGAACTGTTTAGCTATTTTTAGTCCTAACGACGTGAAGTTGCAGGATATTGAGAGTGGAAAAGTGTTTGGGCAAGGAAGCACCAAGGATGACTTATATGTGTTTCAAGACATCTCTTTAAATTCTGTTTCTAAGAATAATGTTTCTTCTATCTTTGCAAATTCTGTTAAGACATCGGTTTTATTGTGGCATGAGAGACTTGGCCATCCACATTCTCGAGCTTTAAGTTTGTTAATGCCTGGTTTTTCTTATGATTGTTCAAACTGTGAAGCATGCATTTTGGGTAAACATTGCAAAGTAGTTTTTCCCAAATCCAATACGATTTATGAGAAGTGCTTTGACCTAGTGCATTCCGATGTTTGGACTTCACCTTGTGCATCTAGAGATAATCATAAGTATTTTGTCACATTCATAGATGAGAAATCTAAGTATACTTGGGTAACTTTGCTTCCATCTAAGGATAGGGTTTATGATGCATTTTTAAACTTTCAAAACTATGTGACTAATCACTTTGATGCCAAGATTAAAATCCTAAGAACAGATAATGGAGGTGAATATACAAGCACCAAGCTCAAAGAACACTTGGAGAAATGTGGAATCCTACATCAAACGAGCTGTCCATACAATCCTCAGCAAAATGGAGTTGCAGAGAGAAAGAATAGGCATCTAATGGAGGTGTCAAGAGCTATGTTGTTTCAGAAGCATATGCCAAAACGGTTTTGGGGAGATGCGGTTATGACAGCATGTTATCTCATTAACCGAACACCAACCCGTATCCTTAATGATCAATCTCCTTTTCAAGTCTTAAATAATCAGAATCCTAACATTGATCATTTAAGAGTATTTGGAAGTCTTTGTTTTGTGTTTGTCCCAGGTGACTTAAGAAACAAGCTGGAACCCAAGAGTACCAAGTGCGTATTTATTGGATACTCAACAACTCAGAGGGGTTACAAGTGCTTTGATCCAGTCAACAATAGATATCATGTATCTAGGGACGTCAAGTTCATGGAAGACAAGGCTTATTTTGGAGAAAAGAGTTGGGAAAGTGTGAAAGATTTGCCTAATTCGACTTCAGATAGAGCTAAAAGTCTCCGACATATTCTAGAGCATTTGGGTAATGTTAGTTCTTCACAAGAAGATGTGGAAGTTACACCAAATGTGGATACCAATGAAGCTCAAGAAAGTGGTGATAATGCAACACAAGAGCCTCGGGATATCCAACAAGAGAGTGGTAGAGAAGAAGGGGTAAGTGAAGAAGTGGAAGAGAAAGATCCATCTAGTGAAGGTGAAATTATTGAATCATCAAGCGGAGATGAGACTTATCAAGCTCCACCAGTAACACGAGATCCAATCTACACTCGGGAGAATCCAAGAAGGGGTACAAGAGAAAGGAAACCGAAGAAGTGCCACTATAATTGCCAAGCCGTGGCTCATCCAATTCAAGCGACATGTTCGATTGACCTTCTTCCCGAAGAACATAAGGCTTTTATCAGTAAACTAGATGTGGAATTTGTACCACAAAGCTATGAAGAAGCTAAGGAAATAAAGGAATGGACTAATGCTGTGGATGATGAGGTTCAGGCTATGGTAAGGAACCATACATGGGATGAAGAAGAACTTCCACCAGGGAAGAAGTGTGTGAGTTCAAAATGGGTTTTCACCATAAAGTATAAGAGTGATGGTGAAATTGAGAGATACAAGGCTAGACTAGTGGCAAGAGGGTTTACTCAGACCTATGGTGAAGACTATAGAGAGACTTTTGCGCCAGTAGCTAAGCAGCACACGGTAAAGGTTGTCCTTTCTCTAGCGGTGAATTTGGATTGGGAATTGTGGCAGATGGATGTCAAGAACGCTTTTCTTCAGGGGGAGTTAGAAGAAGAAGTGTATATGACACCACCTCCGGGCTTAGAGGATACAGTAGCTCCAGGAAAGGTTTTAAGACTTCGAAAAGCTATATATGGCCTCAAACAATCCCCAAGAGCTTGGTACCACAAGTTGAGTTCAACCTTGCTTAGAGAAGGCTTCAAAAGGTCACATTCGGATCACACTTTGTTCACTAAACAAGATAATCAAGGAATCGTAGTAGTGTTGATCTATGTTGATGACTTGATTATCTCGGGCAGTAACAAAGAAGGTATCCAAGCTATTAAGTCTTCTTTACACTTGGCTTTTGATATTAAAGATTTGGGTGTTTTGAAGTATTTCTTAGGGATCGAGGTGTGTAGATCCAAGGAGGGACTGTTTCTCTCACAAAGGAAATATGCTCTTGATCTTCTAAAACTTACAGGGAAGCTTGGAGCTAAACCAGTTGATACACCATTGGAGCAAGGTTACAAGGTCAATCGAAAGGGGGAGAAAGATGACACTCCTTATCATTGCCCAGAACAATACCGAAGACTCGTTGGTAAGCTTATATACTTGACATATACTCGACCTGACTTGTCTTTTGCTGTGAATCAGGTAGCTCAACACATGAAAGAGCCCACTGTTTATCATTGGAGCTTGGTGGAGAGAATTCTGAGATACATCAAAGGAAGTCCTGGCAAAGGCATATGGATGGGAAGAAACTCTAGCACATAAATTGTTGGATATTGTGATGCAGATTACAATGGCGATCGCAACACAAGACAATCAACAACTGGCTTTTGTACATTCATTGGTGGGAATCTTGTGACTTGGAAGTCGAAGAAGCAGAAAGTGGTCTCTTGTTCGAGTGCTGAAGCAGAGTATAGGGCTATGAAGAAACTCACAAACGAGTTAACATGGCTAAAGGCTTTGCTGAAGGACTTTGGGATCGAGCAGAAGACTCCAATCACCTTTCATAGTGACAATCAAGCGGCGATCCATATTGCTACAAACTCAGTGTTTCACGAGAGGACGAAGCATATAGAGACCGACTGCCACAAGACTCGGGAGAAGATCGAAGATGGTACTATCTTACCTTGTTACACCAAGAGCTCGGACCAATTGGCCGACATATTCACCAAGGCAGCAAGTACCCAGGTTTGCGAATTTATCCATGGCAAACTTGGGCTTGTAGACCTCACACATCCTTGAGATACCTCTCCACTTATGTCAGTAATACTCTTTTTCCCTAAGATCGGTTTTGTCCCACGTGGTTTTCCGATCTTAGGTTTTTAATGAGGTTACTAGCATAAGTGTCAAGTTTATACCAATGAATATTGTAGTATAAACTTGAGGGGGAGTGTTAATCAAGAAGGTGTTTAATACTAACTAAATCAATAGTTAGATATTAAACACAAGTTACTTATATTGAGAAACCCGCCGGTCTGAGACACCCGCCTGGCTAGGCAAAGAGATCCAAACTGGCAGGGACAAGTATAAACCCACCGGTCTGAGACACCCGCCTGCCTAAGACCTGCCAGTCTCCTCTATGTCATTTTAACCTAATCTCTTTTATATATAAAGGTTGTAGCCACCATTGTAAAGTTCTTAACACAACTTTTAATCAATACACTACATACCCTTTTCTCTCCATTTCTAGTCATGAGTGTCGACACATTTCCTTCTTAATCTTCTATTCTTATCATAGGCCACGATATGGTCACACTTCCAAGTTTGCAACTGTACTGTGAACTACACCAATTATATGTATTTCATATCCACATATACCAAGTGACATATAGTGTAGTGCCAACATAATAATAACCATCATATTCTGGTATATCGTTCCTCGGAGTCGGTAAAGTCTAAAGTTATCAAAAACAATTTAATAATTATTTATTTTTAATTATATTTTTTAAAAAATTACAAATAAGACATCATTATAAATTATATATGTGCATTATAACTTTTATATTTTTAATGTAGTAAAAATTACATTAGTTATAAATTATTTGTGAGCATTAAAAATTGTTAACTAGTTTAACTTAAAGCTCTAATGCGCATATATAATTTAACTACGTGATACTTATAAATTTTTAATGTAAAAATGTTAAATTAGTTTCATATAAAATATATGCGTGCACTAAAAATTAGTTAACTAATGCACATATGTAATTTAAAATTTTAAAGTTATAAATTTATAATGCACATATATAATTTGCAATGATGTATATATTATTTAGTTTTAAATTTCATTTTCCATGGTCAAAGCTAGTTTTTACTAGATTCCACAAACTCAATAACTGGTCTCCTTATTTTAGAAAGACGTTTACATAATGACCTTTGTGGTCTTCTTCAGTATGTATCCGAGATCTCCAGAACGTCTTTAACCTTTTCTTATATTCTTTGTCTTGCCATTCTCTAGTGGATATCTATGCAAAGAGGAACTTGTTATCGATTCATGAAGGACATGACTAAATTCTTGAAATTCTTAGAAATTACTAAAATCTCGTTTGAAGTACTAACACGATATTTTTTTAATCAAGAAAGTACTAACACGACATGAAACATTTCTATATCCTTGTAAAAACACTATAGTCTTATGATATCGCGATCTTCGGTTAAGGCCTCATCTCGATCTTCGAACCATTTTGATTTCCGTCAAAACCAAACCACGAGACATACTGTATTTACGATTTTCTAATACATCATCAACCGTCTCCTTCACGGTTAATACCAAAGTAAATCAACATTGACCATTCCATTGCCGGACGGAGTGATACAATAATGACCCTGGTATATATTTCTTTTGCTTCGGCCATTACAAATCGGAAATATCGATTGATTTGAACTTGAATTCTATACATATTTTTTTGTTTCATCATCATTAAGGGCCATCATTAATTATATCAATCTTTTGAAAAGAGTTTATTAATATCAAATACTAGTACAAAGGATACCAAGATAAACGTGATAAGTGATAACAAAGAGAATGCATGCAAACTACTAAGGAGCGTACGTGCATGTAGTGCTAGATTGTTAATTACAATCACTAATATTTTCCGATTGTATCGAACCAACTCTACCTGCACCTTCTCCAATAACTTTTAATTCCAACAATATCAGTGGCACCATCTCCACCTACGTTGTTTCAAACAACATTTCCAAACAACCTAGCACCACGTCCACCAGCACGGCCGGCACTACCACCAGCACTACTTGCACCACCAGCACCACCAGCTCCACTAGCACCACCGTTACCACCAGCACCACTAGGACCACCAGCACCACTAGGACCACCAGCACCACTTGCACCACCAGCACCGGTAGCACCACCAGCACCACTAGGACCACCGCCAGCACCGCCAATACCACCGGCATCAGCACCAGTAGCACCACCAGCACCACTTGCACCACCAGCACCAGTCGCACCACCAGCACCGCTAGCACCACCGGCACCACTAGCTCCACCAGCACCACTAGCAGCACCGGCACCACCTGCACCACTGGCACCACCAGCACCACCGGCACCACTAACATCACCACTAGAAGTACTAGTACTAGTGCCACTACCTCCACCAACACTTTTAGCACCATCTCCAACAATAATTTCAATACTAGTTCCATTGGCACTACCACCAGAGCTAGCGGCACCGCCATCACCACCGGCACCACTAGCACCACCGGAACCACCAGCGCCACTAGGACCGCCAGCACCACTAGGACCGCCAGCACCACTAGGACCACCAGCACCAGTCGCACCCCCAGCACCGGCAGCACCACCACCAGCACCAGCTTCACCACCAGCATCAGCACCAGTAGCACCACCAGCACCACTTGCACCACCAGCACCGGTAGCACCACCAGCACCACTAGCACCACCTGCACCACTAGCTCCACCGGCACCACTGGCACCACCAGCACCACCGGCACCACTAGCAGCACCAGCACCACCGGCACCACTAACATCACCACTAGAAGTATCAGTACTAGTGGCACTACCTCCAGTAGAGGTATCAGTACTAGTGGCACTACCTCCACCAATACTGCTAGCATCATCTTCAATAACACTAGCAACAATTCGTTTGTGACCATTTCCTCTAACACCACCTCCAACAACATCATTTGCACCGTTTCCAACAACACTATCAAGAACTCGTTTGTGACCAGCTCTTGTAGCACCACTTCCAACGAAACCACTGGCACCATATGTGACGCCTGGTTCACCGTTAACAGTACCACCAACACCTCTATGAGCACCACTAGCACCATCTCTACGATTTTTTCCACCTCTAATAATGTAACTATCACTTCTTTTGGAACCACCAGCATCATTTCTAACAATGCTACCAACACTTTCTCTCTCGATTCCTAAACCACCAGCTCCAATGTCACCGACTCCCCCTCCACCACCATGTCCACTGCGTTTGCCCCCACGGCCTCTTCCACCACCACGAGTAGTGCCACCTCCACCTCCACCGGCTCCTATATTTGCACCTGTACCTCCGCCTCCGGCTACAATGCCACCGTTCGCACCACCTCCAGCTCCTACACCACCCTCGGCACCAGCACCAACACCGCCTCCTCCATGTTTATAATGACGGCTTTTGCCACTGCCACGACCACCAGTACCAGATAGTTTTCCCAACACTTGAGTTGACATCAGTAACACCATCACACATGCCATAACACAACCCCTTCTCACGACCATCCCCATATATACTCTTACACTCTCTCTCTCTATATATATATATATATATTAATGTACGCGCACACACTAGCTCACTATGATCAAGACAGATTCCCGAACAATATAAGCTCAATCAGAACTAGTGATTTGATTACATACCTTCGCGGGAATCCCTATTTATAGCCAAAACTCCATCAACAAGCACACATACGTGTCCTCTAATCACTGGTCCCACCCAACCCAACTCGTCGGTCGACATGAATATAGTCTTCTATAAGCAATAAGATATTTAGAAAAAAAGCTGATAATGATCGATCCTTGTAAGAACACTCATACATTCTTAGCTCCATTCATGTAACAGTACTTTTTCTTAGTGGAATATTAAAAGATGTCATCGAAGGAACATTTAGACCTCAAATTGTTAACCCCACTTTTGCTAATGTACCAAAGTTGCATTCAAGAAAGAGGTGGTCACGATTTTTCCGTACACAAGGAACATTTAGACCTAATCTTCTTAGACGGTATATTATAATTGTTAAGATGTTCTAAAGCTGTGACCCAATAAACATATATATGAATGCTTAAGAATATAACCAGCTGTGAACGAAACTTACCGATAAATAAAAAGGAAACCCAAGTTTGAGATGACAAAAATGTACTCTAGTATGTGTCGATCACACCAAGTGATAAATTGGGAATAAACAATACATACTTGGCATATATAAATAACTCAAATCCCTATTAAGTATTAACCAGAATTTGCTTGTTAGATTGTCTAAATCAGAACGAGGATTTCTGGCAGCGAAGGTGTGAGTCGTGTGACTGACTGCTCTTCTCTACTCTCTTCCTCAACTTTTGGACTCTCCCAAAAAACAGTTTTTTTTGTGATTTTTTTTTGTGTGGTCATAAGCAGACTTTTCGAAAAGAAAGTATTTGCAGTTGCATAACACAAAATAAATACCCTAGTGGAAAGATACCCCAACAAAAAAGGGAGAAACAAAACACATGTGTCGGCAGTTTTTTTACCATTACAAAAGCATATTCGAGCTTAATTAATCACTGGCATCTTATAATTTTTTTGGTTTAAGGTTTAATATATTGCAATTTTTAAAAAAATTTACATAGGAAAATTAGGTAATTAGATTTTTGAGCCTAATTACAAAAGAAGAAGAGTAAAATCACAAATCATAAACAAGGTTAGCTTTTCAATCTTCTTTTAAACAAAATATTTATAATTAGTTTATTAGATTTACTGATTTACGATTGGTAGGTGGTAGTTAGTTAACTGCTTTTACAATTCAGTCATATCAATATATCATGAAAAATTGTTAGAAATACTCTTTCCCTAATACTCTTTTTCAAAATACTTTTTTCTAGCCATTTTTATTTACGGTTTTTTTTCAATTTTTAATGATCATTTTACCCTTATTTGAAAATAATTAAGTCAACAAATTGACGAAAGTAAATTTTTCTGCCAAAAACAATTTCGACAAAAAAAATTCCGCAAAAAAAAAGTAATCCCTTAATTTTTGTCGGAAATAATTTTTGCGGGATATAAATTTACAAAGGTTTTAAAAGAATTTTATAAGGTTTACAAGTGTTTTAAAGGAATTACAAGGGGTTTAAAAGATTTTCAAGAGTTTTTAAAGAGGTTTAAAAGGATTTACAAGTGTTTTAAAAGGGTTTTAAAAAGATTAATAAGAGTTTTTCAAAGATTTTGAAAGGATTTACAAGAGTTTACAAGGGTTTTATAAGGGTTTTTAGAAGGTTTGAAAGGGTTTACAAGAGTTTTAAAAGAATTTACAAATATTTAAAAGGGTTTAAAAAGTTTTATAAGGGTTTTTAAAATATTTTAAATGGATTTAAAAGAAGTTACAAGGGTTTTAAAAGGAGTTTATAAGTGTTAACAAGGGGTTTTAAAGGTTTAAAAGGGTTAAAAAGATTTTACAAAAGTTTTTATATGATTTATAATTATTTTTGGCAGAAAATTATTTACTTTTACGGAAATATTTTGGCGGGAAAATAAATTTTGGCGGAGAAAATAAATTTTAGCGCCATAATAAATTTTGTCGCTAAAATAAATTTGACTTTCTTATTTCAACTTTTCTCAATGAAAAAGATAATTTACTCGTTTAACACATAAATATGAATATTTTTAATAATGGACAATAGGAAGAAATATTTTTATAAAAAGACATAAAAAGGATATTTTTGCAAATGTCCAATCATGAGAAATTGTTAGAAATATCATATATATTTGACTTTGAATCTAAAAGCTATAAGCTTCTAAACTTATTTTTCAAAGTGTTTGTTTGCGATTTTCTTTTTAAAAATTTATTTTTCATGCCAATTGTGCATTCAAAATCAAGCTGAATGCTTCCTTAATTTTATAATATTTTTTCTTAAAAATTAAAAGAAAAAAAAATATTTTATATTTTCTTAAATATTAAAAAAAAAAATTGTTTCCTTTTTCAAGCCAAAGTGCTTCCATCGACATGCCAAACTGCAACCACATGAGATGCCGACCACTTCAACATCAATAACGCCAGTGGTATTATATAAGATCACACTCGCACGTAACTCCATCAATGTCTTCATAAAGACCAAAGACCATTGTTGCTTACACTTCATACATAACCGGATCTTCTTCTTCAACACCTGATTTTTCTGTCAATCGATCATTCGCCAGCCGTTAATTTTATCAAGTTTAATTTCCAATACCCGGAACCCTTGAATTTGAGGGCGTATAGAAGGATATAGAAGGATTAGAAGATCCGGTCAACTTAAGATATAGAAGGTTATGATATAAAGATATATACATATTTGTATAATTTAGTTTAGGAAATCTCTTTAGTATATAAACATATTGGAAGGGCTAGCTGTTGCACAAATTGTACTTATAACCATAACCATTATTCTTATGATAATCAATATACAAACTTCTAATCCTAAACTCTCATCAATCTCTACGTTTTACATGACTTTACATATGAGAAAGACTTCTGAAGCATTGTCTTTACTTCAACCGCCAAAATCTCTTCTATGGTTCTTTGAATTTCAGTTAACCTCATCTCTTTCGTGTTCACTGAATTTCACAAGTATTCTCTCTTATGAAGTTATGCTTACATGCAAGAAGTCCTTGAGCGTTGTGGCCGTCCATACTCCTTAGCCCAAATTGTCATTGGAACATTGTCAAGTGATGAAGCCAATCATCCCGGGCCTGATTTCGATTCAACGAACATCAACGACAGATCAAACGCACACGGGATCGGCTAGAGACAATCTATTCATTAGAAAGTATATGTTTTTGTACTTCACTCAGTCGAAGCTTGTAATTCCCGTAAATTGTTATAAAATAGTATAAAAATGATGTTAAATTTTGCATCAATTAGTGTAATTAACATTAGTATTTGCTATGGTAATAAATTGACTTAAAATATTTTTTAATTAATTTTTGATTATATCTATATATTTGCATCACTTTTTTCAACGATTTAAAATTATTTGCATCAAAATTTTAATTGATTTAAAATAATTTGCGCCTATAAAAATTGATGTAATAACTATGTGAATTATAAATATTTGATGTGTATATCAATATTAGTTTTGATAAAACTAACAAAAATTCTAAATATTAAATAAATTAATGTGATACTGGAGGGAATTTAAAAATTTTGGACTTCACTTTTTTTGGGATCACTCAACTAAAAACCGGGAGGTAAGTTTCAATATTAATAAAGTAGTTTTTCATCACCCACTTAAGTTTTCGGTGTGAGATTTTCTTTTGTCGTCTGCTACATTATCATCATAGAAATTTTGATCTAATTATACAACAAATGTGGATCAATTTATCATGTCTACTTACATGAAACACATGTGATGACGATGAATATATAATTCCAAAAATTACTCCGCAACACTCGAATCTTCTACTTGTGATTCTTACATGCGTCATACCAACGATGGATAGTCTTACATGGCTTTGTCTACAACATTCTAGAACTTCCGATTAACATTGCACCACTAATCTGCAAGAAAGTGTATTCTCTGGGAATCAAATTAAATCCTAGCTAGATCTAACGTTATAGTTTTCAGACACAACAAAAAAAAAATTTACGTAAACATCAGCAACCGTTTAGGCGTTAGGCGCTCATGCGACACCTAGATAACTGTACGTTTTGCTCGCCTAAAATCGTATCTACTTTGTTTTAGTGTATTTTTCTAGTTTCCAACTAAGTTATATCCTTACATAGATAGTTATGAATGTTCGTATAATGTTTGATATACTTAAATAAATGTTTTGTCTAGTTTTTGTTTACGATTTAACATTTTTACCTCTTTGGTAAATATTTATATATAATTTTTATGTATAATACCATATTTATATCGTTAATATTATAAACGCTTAAACCGCCTAAAATCGCTTAGGTCCCGATTAAGCGTTCTAGATGCTAGCATTGGGTCACTGCCCGCTTAGCGCTTTCTTAAACACTGATAAAAAGTGTGTATTTGATTCTCGTGATATTTCTTGTAATTTCCTTAAAATGTTTAAGTTTCCCTTTAAATTTTGAAAGTATCTCTCGATTAAAATAGGGCAATTTTGAATTTTCTAAAATACCACAAGTCTTTGTTCTAAAAATATCATTACTAGTTTTTTCAATAGTATCATAAGTTTGATATTAAAATAATTCAAAAAGAGTTTTAATGGTAAAAATATAACCCTAAATTGGAAATAAGAAACCCAAACATAATATTTTAATTTTATTTATAATTTAGTTTGGTAAAGAAATTCACACAAAATTTGTAATATTATTTATAAAATAAACTAGTAATAGCATTTCCGGACTAAAAATTTAAAAGTTTGGTATTGTAGGATAATATCTTTTAATATATCAAGGGACATTAATTTTTGTAAAAGAAGTTTTATTCATTATTAATATTATTATATATAGTTAAGGAGAACAAGATAACATTGATAGCAATATGCTAAGCATGCATGCAAACTATGTTTTATGTTGTCGGTTTTTATACAGTGAGTGCTGCTACGGTCACCGCCATTTCCAATTAGTGTCGTCGGTCACTACCAACTCCTTCACCTGCACCACCAACTCCTCCACCAACATTTGCCCCGCCTCCTACACCGCCTCCAAGTCCTCCTCCGCCTCTAACACCACTGCCAAGTCGGTTACCACGACCCCCTCCACCAACATTACCACGTGCACCTCCTCGAACACCTCCTCCAGCACCACCTCCAATAGTACCATTGTCACCTCCGCCAACTACACCTCGTACACTACCACCACTGCCTCCTATACCTCCTCCACCACTACCTTGTCCACCACTACGTCTACCTCCACCAACACTGCCCCCTCCACTTCTACCCGAACGTCCACTACCGCGTCCTCCTCGACCAATATTACAACGTCCGCCTCCTCCAATTCCGCCATCACCACCTGCACCTCCTTCTCCACCATTACCGCCACCTCGACCACCGCGGCCACCTCCACCGCCACTACCTCCTCCACCGCTATTTCCTCCATTACCTCCTCCACCACCAGCTGCTCCCTCCCTACCACCTCCAATACCACCACCAGCTCCTCCTCCGGCTCCACTTCCTCCACCTGCACCTCCGTCACCACCACCACCGCCTATTCCTCCTCCTCCGCCAATTCCACTTCCACCACCTGCACCTCCGTCACCACCACCACCGCCTATACCTCCCCCTCCGCCAATTCCACATCCAACTCCAATGCCACCGCTAGCACCACCATCGACTCCTGTACAGCCGTGCCTCACGTTATAAGAAATAAACTACTTAAAACTACTTAAGAGTTAAGAGACATATTTTTAACAAGATTTATTCTGTCTTTTGTTTTAATTTGTTGTGTAGGCCTACTATTAACTAGGTTACTTACGTGTATTTAAGGGCTACAAAAATTATGTTAGTTAAAAACGTTAAAGAAGGAAACTAAACTAAAACAGAGCAAATCATTATAAAATTAGGTTAATAACTCTCTTCTGTTGTTAGAAACCCTAGAAAATGTTAAACTTTTTGAAAAGAGTTGAAGATAGTTATCCTAACTCATGGTTAGCTTATCTAGATTGTTAATAATTTCAGTTAATTTTTTTTTCAAACGTCGCTCAAATATGTTTTATGAAAAACTCAATGACTTATCTGTCTTATAAATAGTAAAAAAATATGTTAGAAATTTTGATTTTGGGAAAAAATTGGTTAACAATTCTGTGGCAAAGAAAAAAAGAATTTTTTTTGTTTTATAAGTAATTTATTTTGTTTTAGTTATATATTTATATACTTTGGTCATATAATAATAATTATTATCTTTATAGACAAAATATTATTTTAGCATCTGTGTTTATTATAAAATTTTATTTTACCGCCTCCAGCCGTCATTGACTTTGGCACGGTATAGGCTATACCACCTCCACCGGCACCAGCACCAGCACCATCACCGTGTCCTCCATGTTTTTGACGTCGGTTTTTGCCACTGTCATGACCATCTGTACCAGATAATATTCCCAAAACTTGAGTCGACATCAGTAACACTATCACACACGCCACCCTACCCCTTCTCACGTACTTCCCCATAGTTACACTTTCTCTGTAAATCAAGAGATAGTTTCCTAAATAATACTCAATCAGTACTAACTAGGTATTTGATTATATATACTTGGCGATAAATTCTATTTATAGCCAAAAAGCCCATTAACAAGCGCATACACGTGTCCTCTAATCACGGGTTTCTGGAAAAGATGAAAACCCACCACCCTACACTATTAAATCTCGACGACCTACGTGTCCAGACTCCTTGGTCGACATAAACACGCAACATAGTCTTCTATAAGCACTAACAAATTTATTAAAGCTGATCATAATGATGACTTATAAGAAAACTCATGCACTCTCTATTCATGTAATAGTGGTTTCATTTAGTGGAATATAATACGTGCCCTCTTTTCACCTCTCGCAAATACGCATTTCCTTAATTATATCGTCATTATATATGCTCAATAGTTTTCAAAAAAACATATTGAGATTCGGGTAGCTCAATGCAATCGCGGGCTACTTCAATATCTTGCAGACCAGCGCTTGCTTGAAGATTGGGAGGATATTGAGAGGGTACGGAGAGGAGGTCTGAATCCATATATAGAAGGCCCTACCTGTAGCTAAAGCTCATGAAATTGGTTCTTTAGGCATCACAAATATATACAAAAATGTTAAGGGCATCATTTCAAAAGTTACCTTGTGGCATAGCGGTAAACTTGCAGAAAATCGGTTTTTTCATATCTCCACAATTGCACTATGTTAAATTTATATCTAAACTATACCGTTGTGCTAAAACATACCTTGAGTAATAAATCATGTGAATTTCATATCTACGCTTCATATTTTGTGCAAAATCATGCATACGTCCTAAAAATATCGACTACGTGGAATCTACGTGTACATCTACATGGCTTTGTTTTAGGAAAATTGGCTACATGAAGAGGAAGAAGAAGAAAAAAAATTCTGGTCAAAATCGGGTGAAGAGGAAGAAGATTCTGGTCAAAATCAGGTTTAAATTAGGTTAAATTTGAATTAAATCAAACCGGGTTATGTGGTACCGGTTTATTGGTCGGTTCAATTGGAGACGTAGTTTTAAGGATGATGTGAAAGTACATGTTGCAATTGTGATAATTATCTAAGTTTATGGTGGAATTTTCATGGGCAAAAAGGTTTGGGGGAAAAGCTGAGAATGCAACTAGTTTATGGCTATAAAATCAGCCAACCCAATATCTTTTCGATAGCGTGACTATTATACACAAACTTGATCCCAAACGGTTAGGGCAGGAGTACGATGAACCAAAACTCGTATCCAATTGACATTTTTTTTATATAAGAAAGAACCCAATGTTCAGAAGACAAAAAATGGCCCGAAAATTGCTGAATAAAAAAAAGTCTGAAAATTATCTATAACAAGGCCAATAAATATTTTAGAAATGCTCACCAAAAAAAGAAAATATATTTTAGAAATACTTAAATCTTTTTCTTCTAAATAATATTTTTCTACAAAAGGGCTCATATCTTCAAAAAGAACTCTTGAATAGATCAAATTTTACTTGTAAAAGAGTGTAAATTTGAACAAAAAATCAGAAAAATATCCAAAAACTTTTTTACGTATTAAAAGTTCCAAAAATTATTTTCTTGGGTCGGGGCCGGCTATCCAACACTGTGTAAAAAGGTTTTAAATGTTTTAAAGATTTAAAAAGTTTTATAAAAGTTTTAATTTTTTTTTATAAAGATGACTATAGTTGTTTGAATTTGTAGACAACTCTTTTACTTGAATTTGTTTCTTACAGACGTTTGATAGTTGATACGATAAATGTATTTGTACAACGGTTACAAACGTTTCAATTTTCAACACTGTTATGGATTTATAATGGGTCTTAATCAAATCCAATATTTATCCACTAAAAGTTTGTTTATCTTATATAGGACTTGTAAAAAATTAAAAATTTCATGGGTGGGCCGATCTCGATAGCCCAGCAAGAATACGACTTACTGTGAGTTAGCCGTTGAGGAGGACTTCATAACGGTAACTTCTGACGTCAAGCTGACTCACTTCCGAATTCAGAAACTAGCCGTTACTAATTTTTCTCCAACGGTCGAGAAAAACTTGTCTATATATAACAAAGACAGCCTTTGTTTCGCTATAAATCTAAATCCAAACATGTAAAACTTAAGAAACTGAGTCTGGTCTCTCTCTTCATCTCTGGTGGCAGAATTCAGCCAATCGTACGTAAGCGGTAAGTCGCTTTTATCAAATTTTTTTTATTTTTCCAGTCTTTCTACAACTGCAAAAAAGATTTCTCGTTTGATTTCTTTTTGTTTTTGTTTTTACTCTCTGTTTATTTATGATTATTAGCCCTCTTTATATTTAATTTCACGATTGTGTCCATATTTGTTTTACATGGGTTTTTTTTTCTCTCTTATGTAATTCGAATTTCTCTGCTATTCTTGTTGATGTTTCGTTTAAAACTTCTGGATTTCAAAGTTAAATAATTACGGTGACAAATATGTTTTTAGACGACGGTGTATGAGGTTCATATTTTTGTTATTATTTCTTTGATTATTATTATATAGTCATGCCAAACTTCTTTTGGCAAATGAAATTCTTTTTGCAAATTTAATTTCGTTATTTAATTAATTAAACTAAATTCTTTTGGCAAGGAATCATATATATACTGATGAGGAGTTGAGGACAGTGCTTTCAAGCCAACAGCAATTTTCTCTACTAAGAGCAAAAAGTTTTACGCCCCCAACATGAACTGCAATTTCCTCGAGGTTAGTTCTTACAATGCTTTCCAATACTTGAAGCACTTTTCAGTCGAACACCTTACGTCTAAAAACACACACGTAAACACTAAATCAAAATACTTTTAGCACTACAAGAATAATGGGTTTTTATAGCAGTATAACATAACGTGTGTGGGCTAAATGCTATGGTTATGAAACCACTTTATTAAAGATAGCGTTTGTGTATTTTTAAACGCTATAATATATTGTAATATTAAAAAATTTTGTCGTTTTTTCTAAAACGCTTATTAATAGCAGACCGCTAATTTAAAACGCTATGATATGGTTAGGCGGTAATTAAGAAACCCGCGATACTTAGAAATTTTTTGGCTCCTCAGGTCAAAAGAACAAAAATCCCCAAATTTCTAGACCTAAATTTCTCCCTCTCGATTTTGGCTCGATTTTGCTCGATTTTCGCCAAATCTTCATCAATCAGACTCGAGCCTCACAAATATCAGTCAAATGCCCTAAAATCTTCTCGTCTCCCACACAAATCGATCTCCACTCTGAAAGCTCAATCGTCTCCTAGAGAAATCGCGTATCGTTCTGAAAATCTTCTCGTCTCCAGCTTCAATCTCGTGTCTGTAACCAAATACACGACAATCCAGCTTTCTCTTTCGCTTGTTTACACAAATCTCGTCTCAATCGATTTACACAAATCTCGTCTCTGTAACCGAAAACGCTTCAAATCCAGCTTCCTCTTTCGCTTGTTTTCGTGTTCTTGCTCGATTTCTACCAGGTATCTCACTTGTTCTCTATTGTTGTTGTCGCTATCAGATCTCGTCATTCTGTTGTTGTGGCTTAACTGCATGCAATTGTTTTGTTGTTGATTGTGTAAACACCTTTGGTCGGAGTTGTTCCCATGGATAAAGCTTGGGTCTGGTTACCAAGGTAATCTCTGTCCTTCTTCTTCTTTGATTTTTTTGTGAACTAGCTTGGGTCTGTGATTTCTTTTTTTGATTTATTTGATTTCTTTGATTGCTAACAGGAATAGCCTTGAGTATGAGGAAGGAGCAACTAAGTTTGTGCTTGATGCAACAAGTTGTTTGGGTAATGTATTAGCTATGTTCTGTCCTTGCGTTGATTGCCGGAATGTGGTTCATCAGTCAAATGAGACAGTGTTGGAGCATCTAGTGATTAGAGGGATGGATCTTAAGTACAAGAGAAGCAAATGTTGGAGTAAACACGGGGAGATAAGTGATAAGACAACAGATGTTCATGCGTCTGAAAATGAGGCTTATGACTTGTTTAGGACAGCTTTTATGGAAAGCGAGGGCAAGCAATCATCTCAGCAGAATAATGTAGAAGAGTCTGAAACAGTAGAGAGTAAAGAAGAAGGGGAGTTTAGGAAGAAGTTAGAGGATGCAGAAACTCCATTGTACTCTACATGTATGAACTACACAAAGGTTTCTGCAATCATGGGACTGTACAGGATAAAGGTCAAGAGTGGTATGTCAGAGAACTTTTTTGATCAGCTTCTGACACTAGTGCATGACATGCTACCTGGAGACAATGTGCTGCCTAAGTCTACAGATGAGATGAAGAAGTTTCTGAAGATTTTTGGTTTTGGTTATGATTCTATTCATGCTTGCAGAAATGATTGTATCCTTTATCGGAATCAATATGAGGAGTTGGTGAGCTGCCCAAGATGTAGTGAATCAAGATGGGAAAAGGACAAGCATACAGGTGAGGAGAAGAAAGGTATTCCAGCAAAGGTGCTAAGGTATTTTCCGATAAAAGACAGATTTAGGAGGATGTTTAGATCAAAAAGGTTGGCTGAGGACTTGTGTTGGCACTCCACTAATGCTAGTCAAGATGGTACAATGCGGCATCCAGTAGACTCTTTGACATGGGTTCAAGTAAATGATAAATGGCCAGAGTTTGCAGCAGAGGCAAGAAACCTTAGGCTAGGTCTTTCTACTGATGGGATGAATCCTTTCTCCATCCAAAACACCAAGTACAGCACATGGCCAGTGCTGCTAGTCAATTACAATATGGCTCCAACTGAGTGTATGAAAGCTGAGAACATAATGTTGACAATGTTGATACCTGGACCAACCGCACCAAGCAACAACATTGATGTATATCTACAGCCTCTGATAGATGACCTAAAAGACTTGTGGAATGAAGGTATGGTAGTTTATGACTCATTTAAGAAGGAGAGTTTCACTCTAAGAGCTATGCTTCTATGGAGTATTACTGACTATCCAGCATTAGGTACATTAGCAGGATGTAAGGTGAAGGGGAAGCAAGCTTGTAATGTTTGTGGGAAGGATACACCTCACAGATGGTTAAAGTTCAGTCGCAAGCATGTTTATATGGGAAACAGAAGGCCTTTGAGGCCTGATCATCCTTACAGGCGTAGGAAAGTTTGGTTTGACAATACAGTTGAGCTTGGTATTGCAGTGAGTCGTATCTGCAATTTCTTCAATAGATTGTGCCAACGTGTAATTGATCCAGAGAAGCTTGTTACATTAGAATCAGAGGTTATAGAAACAATGTGCCAGTTGGAGAGATACTTTCCACCATCACTTTTTGACATTATGTTTCACCTGCCAATACATCTAGCAAGAGAAGCACGCTTGGGTGGCCCTGTACACTTCAGATGGATGTATCCATTTGAGAGGTAATGTTAATGGTCTTACTATAGTTATACAATAAACTATTTGGCTGATTTCTCTTATAGTTACTCATAGTAATTATTGTTATTGCCATTAGGTACATGAAGACACTTAAGGCATATGTGAAGAATTTTGCAAGGCCAGAAGCTTGTATGGCTGAGGGCTACTTGGCTGGTGAATGCATTGCATTCTGTTTGGAGTTCCTCCAGAAATCTGTTCCAGTACAAGAAACTCTTAATCGTAATGAAGATCTTGAAGCAGATCAACAAATTCTTGAAGGCAGACCACTACATAAAGCTACAGAAAAGACTCTTACAGATAAAGAACGAGACATAGCTCATCGGTATATTCTCATGAATACAGCAGTCATGGAACCATACATTGAGTAAGTGCAAAGCTAATACAGATTTATGTTTAAAAGCTTGATGATTAAAGTGTAACAAAGAATAACTTTATTGAAAACATGTTGCATTTGGAAGAACTGCAAGCTACAGATGTAAGATGTGCAAAAAATGAAACACTCTTGTGGAAATATCACACAGAAAGGTTCCCACAATGGATCAAAGATAAGGTTAGAAGAATGTCAATTGTGTAGTGTTTTTTAATTTCATGTCATTGACATTATGTTTCTCTGTTTCATTTTAGATACCAAGTAACTCAAAAGATCATTCTAGTAGACTGAGATGGCTTGCATTTGGACCAAGACATATTGCTCAAAGTTACAAGGGGTATATAATTAATGGTCAGCGGTTCCACACTGATGATGTCAAGAGGAAAACCCAGAATAGTGGAGTAACTTATGAAGCATTTTCTATGTGTAGATCAAGTGCTAAAGATACTAGACAAATGGCAGATATAGTATCATGTGCCTGTACTGCTAGATGACTGGAGACAGCTTGATCAAAGGACAAAAGATGTTATGTGGGAAGAAATTCAGGTTATTTTTCACCTTTGCTTGAATAAAAGTTATATGAGAGTGTTGTTTGTGTCTTAACTTGGCAATGTTTGACAGGGGAGGTTTAATTTAAAAGATGATTGGCAGAAAGAATCAGTATTTAAGCAAATGGGTGGTCTGTGGAGGGCTGCCAAATCCAAGCTTGTTACCAAAGTGAGATCTACTAAAAGCAAAGTTGCTCTACAGCAACTGAAGCCTAGCAACGTCCAATGTACATCAGCCTGGAACAGTTGGGTTAAGAACAAAAACACAGCAGCTTTTAAGGTTATTGTGATAACTCCTTTGATTAATTTCTTTAAAATAGTTATACTCATCTGACTCTTTTTGTCTATAGGAACGAAGTGAGAAATACAGGCAACTGAGGAAGGGTCAAATTCCTCATACTACAAGCCGCAAGGGAATGACTCGCTTAGCTGATGAGATGGTATGTATTTTGTTTTGCATTGGGTACTTTTATTAGTAATTTACTCATGAGATGGTATATGTGCATGAACTTGTAGAAAAAAAACAGTTCTGATCCTAGAAAAGTTACTAGAAGTAAGGTGTGGATAGCAGGACATACACATTCTGATGGGAGACCTGTGAGGGAAGAGTTTGCAGAAACTATTGTAAGTAGCACTTAAAATCTTTTTCAATTGTTATTCAGGTTACTTTAAAGATTGTTTCTACATATTGTGATATAAAATTTGATGTCAGGAAATGATCAAGACCATTGATAGTGAAATGGACTCCACCACATCCACGGATAATGTTAGGGAAGATGCTGTGAGTCAGGTACTAGGAAAAGACAGACCATGAAGAGTTAGGGGGATGGGCAGAGGAGCAACTGTTACTAAGTTAGCATTCTTACAGACAAGAGACTCTCATGTCAAGAATCTTGAAGCTTCTCAAGCAGAATTGAAAAGTAAGCTTGAAAGTTTGCAGAATCTGGTTAGTAACTTAGCTAGTAAAAAGGTAAACCTTTTGGCACTCATTGTTTCACAATGCCAACTTATATAAGTTTTGGTTAATTAAGTGTTTTTTTGGTCATTGCAGAGACAGACTAATGATGTTTCCATGTCTGACTTAAGCAATGTTAGCAAAGGAGGTGTTAGGTGCCAGCTTCTTGATTGGTGTTCAAATGTTGAGGTGGTTGTTGGTGAAGGAGAATTCTGCTCCAGTGAACACACATATAAGATTGGTAGAATACCATTGGGTCGCAATGCAGCTGCTGTACTTGTGAAGTCCACAACAGTTATACATGCATCTGTCTGGAGACCTACTCCAACCATTTTCACACTTAATGAAGCTGTTGGACATAAAATTGCATGGCCACTTGACAAGATTATATTGGATGAGGATATTAACTTGTCCCAACCTACTAAGTCTGTCGAATCAGAGCAGGTAAATTACAACTACTATTGAGTTCCTCTTAAATTCATATTGGGTAGATTACTAATATAGATATATGTTTGCATGATTCATTAGCCAACAGATGAATCACTAGGAAGAATTAAAATCTTTCAGTATTGGAGTGGAGATGATGATTTGATTGCTGAAGGTATGTTGTTGTCAACTGACCATAATGAATTGGTGGATGGTAGACCTCTGGGACATGGTGCTGCAGTTGTTAAGGTCCTGGAGGTGGTTAAACCTGAGGCTTATCTGTGGAGACCAAATCCTCCAATCTCATTGATGAGTGATGCACTAAATGAGACCATCGCATGGCCTATTGATAGAATACAACTCCTTGATGTACCTGCAAATGATGAATCAACCAGAAAATCACCTCAAGTAAGTTTCTCTGCAACTAGTTTTTAATTTAAATGGTATGAATACTTAAACTTGGAAATCTTAGGGTAGTCACATGTTGTATTGGATTGTGTTGATGTTGCTGTGATGTTAGTCTGATGTAATTCTTTTTATAATGTTTGATTTTAGAGTGCAACTACTCCCAGTTCTACTACTCCCAGCACTGCTAGTAGCAAAGGTGCTAAGCAGAAGTGTTTTCTATTAGATATTGATAACACTGGGCAGAGAGTTGCAATAGGTCGGGTGTCTTCAACTGATCCAGCAGAGAAGGTCCATCACGTCCCTTTAGGTGCCAACGCTAGCAAGGTCTGGGTAGAGGTTTCCAAGGTTGAGGGTGCACGAGTGTGGAGAGCAAATTCTGAAGTTAAATTCATTGCTGATGCAGTAGGAACCACTGTGGCTTGGCCTAATGACAAGATTATATTCATGTGATTTGAGTTTTAGTACTTTTGAACTAAGTGTTTAAAAATGTAAAACTTATGTTTGACTCTTTTGGAACAAATAATTAATGAAGTATTTGATAAAATAAACCCAGATTTTAATATTTTTATATCGATTCAAATTATATAAAACAGAAATATAAAAAAATTAATATAATGCTATTATAAATTAATAATTAACATAACATTGCCTAAAACGTTGTTAATAATATTATTCATAACAACATAACTACGCTATTATATAATATTTAATTGCATTTACAAAAGCGCTATTGTATATAACAGTTACATAGCATTACAAAAAAGCGCTATCTAAAGTGTCTGACCTATTATGACGGGCGCAGAAATAGCGCTTGTCAAAACGCTATAGTATCGTTAGATAGCGTTATTCGGGTGCTACGAAAAGCCCTTTTTCTTGTAGTGTAGTAGTGAATTGAAACACTTTTTGTTTTTCCAAGCACACATTAGTTAAAACTTTGAAACACTTAAGTCGAATATTTGATTCAATGGCCAACTAAAAATATTATCACATTTATGCCAAAAGTTAATTAGTCGAAGAACTTTGTCAAACTACATTTTACAGTCGAAATACTTTTTTTTCCAAACACACTTTTAAACAAAGTATACGCACTGGAATATGTAACTTGGTTAAAATCTTGTAACATGTAGTCGGAAAAAGGTCATTCAACATTTAAAGTCAAAACACACACGATACCCGAACACTTTAAGTGTACTCGTCGTAGCACTGTAGTCGAGTCGAAGCACTGTAGCATTGTAGTCGAAGCACTGTGTAGTCGAAGCAGCGCACTGTAGTCTGTAGTCGTAGTCGAAGCAGCGCAGTGTAGTCGTAGTCGAAGCAGCGCAGTGTAGTCGTAGTCGAAGCAGCGCACTGTAGTCGGTAGTCGAAGAGTGTAGTGTAGTCGAAGTCGAAGCAGCGTAGTCTGTAGTCGTAGCCGAAGCAGCACCGTAGCAGTCGAAGCAGCACCGTAGCAGTCGAAGCAGCACCCGAAGCAGCAGCACCGTAGCAGTCGAAGCAGCACCCGAAGCAGCAGCACCGTAGCCGCATAGCCGCCGCATAGCCGAAGCAGAGCGTGGCCGAAGAAGCAGCAACAGCGTAAGCAGAAGCAGCAGCAGCGTGGCCGAAGCAGCGTGGCCGAAGGGAGCAGCAGCGTGGCCGAAGCAGCGTGGCCGAAGGGAGCAGCAGCGTGGCCGAAGGGCCGAAGCGGCAGCGTAGCCGAAGCAGCAGCAGCACCGTAGCATAGCAGTCGAAGCAGCAGCGTGGCCGAAGGGCCGAAGCGGGCCGAAGCAGCACCGAAGCGTGGCCGAAGCACCGAGCTGCTGCTCCGTCGAAGTTGGCCGAAAACCGTGGCCAAAGCAGAAGCAGCACCGTGGCCGAAGAAGCACCGTGGCCGAAGAAGCACCGTGGCCGAAGCAGCCGAAGCAGCACCGTGGCCGAAGCCGAAGCAGCACCTTTGTCGAAGCAGCACCGTGGCTGAAGCTGCACCGTGGCCGAAGCTGCACCGTGGCCGAAGCTGCACCGTGGCCGAAGCTGCACCGTAGCACAAGCAGCACCGTAGCCGAAGCAGCACAAGCAGCACCGTAGCCGAAGCAGCACCGTAGCCGAAGGAGCATTGTAGCCGAAGCTGCACTGTAGTCGAAGCACTTTGCACACTTTACACACTTTACCCTAAATCCATGTAGTCGATGCACGCACTGTAATCAAAGTAGTCGAAGCACGAAGCAGCACTACAGTGTAGTCGAAACACGAAACACACACTACACTGTAGTCACTGTATAGTCGAAACGCACTGTAGTCGAAACGCACTGTAGTCGACAGAATTCATCACGTCTCCTCGAGATAATTTTCTTCTAGTTATTTCGACAGAATTTAGCCTTTTAGACTATTAATTAGTAGGGGTGATCGGACCACTTTCTGGACCAGATTAGTGAGGTGAGGTAACGTGTACAATGGAGAAATAATAGTTAGTACTGGATTAGTGGGGCACCGGATTAGTGGGGCACCTCTATAAATATAATTATTCTAACCCTAAAACAGTTTCCATATTTACACGAAAGTTTTATTCTTGTGCATCACTTCATGTACTCTGTCGCTAGTACAGGAGATCCATCATCATCTCCTAATAGTTTCTTGTATATCTTTAATCGTTGAAGCATGCTATTCCGAGAATTGGTACTTTTTAGCCCGATAATTTATAGACATGATTTTATATTATAGCGAGGAATACGAGAAACAAAGAAAAATTATGTCGATATGATGAATGTGAGATACTCCACTTTTAGTCAAAGGATTTATATTAGAAAAAGTTAGTTTTATATTCTAAATATTTAAAACCCTAAATTGAATTTTAAACCGAATCAAAATTTGAAAGAAAAAACAAAAGCAAAACTTAATTCTGTTTTTTTTTTTCTTTTTCGTCAAACTTATTTCTTTTTTTAATAGAAAATTATGACTGAAAAAACTAATCTAAACCATCACCAAACAACATAACGGATTTATAGTAGCTTCAATTTCACTAATTGCTAATTTACTATTCCTTTAAAGTTGAAATATTTTATAGAGAAAACCGAATTCCGGATTGAACTTCCTCTGATTGCGAGAAAGTATTTGTTATAAAAGTATGCCTCGATCGATGACTCGAATCACCCCTTGGACCGGGTTGATTATATACTGTATGTATATCTTATATTTAAAGTAGATAGGAATTGGCACTTTTAAATAATACCCTATAATTATAATAGACATGATTTACTTATATTATAGTGAAGAATACACGAGGAACAGTCGAACAGAATAACGTATGTGTGATTTTACGTTAGATCTAAATTCGGTTCTTGTAGTTTTTTCTAGTTAAGGTTTGATTGAGCCTGATTACAAAAGAGGAAGAGTAGGATTGATCACGAATCATATGAGGACCAAGATAATATGCAATAGCAAGAGGTTGAAAGCAAGCAAGACTATGAAGTAAGAGGTCCGATCGACTAAAGAAGGAAGCTTGCATAAGCTCTAAACTTTGTTTCATTAATTGGTTTGTTGTTAGTGGCTTTACATATATCATGCTTAATTATTTAGAGAAGTGATTTCTTCCGAAATTAATTTAGACAATGTAAAGTAGAGAATAATGGTCTTTAGGGCGTCTTTACCATGATTTTTTGAAACGTTAGTTTGGCTCATCCCAAATATTGAACATGAGAAACATTCTCATGTATGATGTTCTTGAGTATTGCTATAAAATTATATTTGATGAAAAAATGCAGAAAATAATTGACTTTCCCTCCTACATTATTTTACATTTTGATAGTATTTCTAGTTTAACTAATATAAGAAATTTAAGATTTAATTACATTATCAAGTAAATTAGCCTAAAAATTAACAATAATTAAAACACAAGTAAGTTGTCGCAATCATTGGAAATCTGTTGGTTATTATAAAAAAACCCATGTTATCATTGTTTGTTGACGAAATTTAGCGACTTCAAAAAAAAAAAAAAAGGGAATAGTGATGTTTACCTCATTTCTTGATGTGAGAAATAAACAAGGACATCGATTGTCATTGATTTGAAGTATATCTTTTTTGATCATTAGTTTAGTTATATCAATCTTTGGAAAGAGTTTTATTCATTACTATATATTAGTACAAGGAGAATATGATAAAAGTGATAACAACGAGCGTGCATGCAAGCTAGTAAAGAGGTAACGTGCATGGAGTACTAAATTGTTAACGGTCACTGCCGTTTTTGATTTAGTGCCGTCGGTTTCCAACGCTACCGCCACCACCAGCTCCTCCTCCTGCACCGCCTCCGGCTCCAACTCCTACACCAACATTTGCTCCACCTCCAACACCACCGCCAAGTCCTCCTCCACCACCGCCACCAAGTCCTCCTCCTCCACCACCAACAAGACCGCCCCCACCACCTAAACCAACTCCACCACCTCCAACAGCGCCACCAACACCTCCTCCGAGACCACCTCCAATAACACCACCAACACCACCGCCTCCACCGCCAACTCCACCTCCGGCACCTCCTCCAGCACCCCCTCCAACAGCACCACCAGCACTACCTCCACCTCCAGCAGCACCACCGACTCCACCTCCTACACCACCGCCTATACCTCCTCCACCACCAACTCCTACACCTCCTCCGGCTCCAACATTACCACCAGCTCCTCCTCCGGCTCCAGCTCCGCCACCAGCTCCTCCTCCAGCTCTAGCTCCACCACTACCTCCACCACCAACTCCACCTCTAGCACCCCCTCCAATAGCACCACCAGCACTACCTCCACCTCCAACAGCACCACCGACTCCACCTCCTACACCACCGCCTATACCTCCTCCACCACCAACTCCTACACCTCCTCCGGCTCCAACACTACCACCAGCTCCTCCTCCGGCTCCAGCTCCTCCTCCAGCTCTAGCTCCACCACTACCTCCACCGCCAACTCCACCTCCGGCCCCTCCTCCAGCACCACCAGCACTACCTCCACCTCCAGCAGCACCACCGACTCCACCTCCAGCAGCACCACCGACTCCACCTCCTACACCACCGCCTATACCTCCTCCACCACCAACTCCTACACCTCCTCCGGCTCCAACACTACCACCAGCTCCTCCTCCAGCTCTAGCTCCACCACTACCTCCACCGCCAACTCCACCTCCGGCACCTCCTCCAGCACCCCCTCCAACAACACCACCAGCACTACCAGCACTACCTCCACCTCCAACAGCACCACCGACTCCACCTCCTACACCACCGCCTATACCTCCTCCACCACCAACTCCTACACCTCCTCCGGCTCCAACACTACCACCAGCTCCTCCTCCGGCTCCAGCTCCGCCACCAGCTCCTCCTCCAGCTCTAGCTCCACCACTACCTCCACCGCCAACTCCACCTCCGGCACCTCCTCCGGCACCCCCTCCAACAGCACCACCAGCACTACCTCCACCTCCAGCAGCACCACCGACTCCACCTCCAGCAGCACCACCGACTCCACCTCCTCCACCACCAACTCCTACACCTCCTCCGGCTCCAACACTACCACCAGCTCCTCCTCCAGCTCTAGCTCCACCACTACCTCCACCACTAACTCCACCTCCGGCACTTCCTCCAGCACCCCCTCCAACAACACCACCAGCACTACCTCCACCTCCAATAGCACCACCGACTCCACCTCCTACACCACCGCCTATACCTCCTCCACCACCAACTCCTACACCTCCTCCGGCTCCAACACTACCACCAGCTCCTCCTCCAGCTCTAGCTCCACCACTACCTCCACCACTAACTCCACCTCCGGCACTTCCTCCAGCACCCCCTCCAACAACACCACCAGCACTACCTCCACCTCCAGCAGCACCACCGACTCCACCTCCAGCAGCACCACCGACTCCACCTCCTACACCACCGCCTATACCTCCTCCACCACCAACTCCTACACCTCCTCCGGCTCCAACACTACCACCAGCTCCTCCTCCAGCTCTAGCTCCACCACTACCTCCACCGCCAACTCCACCTCCGGCACCTCCTCCAGCACCCCCTCCAACAACACCACCAGCACTACCAGCACTACCTCCACCTCCAACAGCACCACCGACTCCACCTCCTACACCACCGCCTATACCTCCTCCACCACCAACTCCTACACCTCCTCCGGCTCCAACACTACCACCAGCTCCTCCTCCGGCTCCAGCTCCGCCACCAGCTCCTCCTCCAGCTCTAGCTCCACCACTACCTCCACCGCCAACTCCACCTCCGGTACCTCCTCCGGCACCCCCTCCAACAGCACCACCAGCACTACCTCCACCTCCAGCAGCACCACCGACTCCACCTCCAGCAGCACCACCGACTCCACCTCCTCCACCACCAACTCCTACACCTCCTCCGGCTCCAACACTACCACCAGCTCCTCCTCCAGCTCTAGCTCCACCACTACCTCCACCGCCAACTCCACCTCCGACACCTCCTCCAGCACCCCCTCCAACAACACCACCAGCACTACCTCCACCTCCAATAGCACCACCGACTCCACCTCCTACACCACCGCCTATACCTCCTCCACCACCAACTCCTACACCTCCTCCTCCGGCTCCTACGCTTCCACCAGCTCCTCCTCCAGCTCCTACGCCCCCACCAGTTTCACCACTGCCACGTCTTCCTCCACCAACACTACCACCTCCACTCCCACTACCGCCAGCACCTCCTCCGACTCCACCACCTACACCTCCTCCAATTCCGCCACCAACACCAACTCCTCCTCCGGCTCCACCACCTTTACCACCACCTTTACCGCCACAGCCTTTTCCACCGCCACCAACATTGCCACCTCCACCAGCTCCTCCTCCTGCACCACCTCCAATGGCACCGCCTGCTCCACCACCAATTCCTCCCCCGGCTCCAACACCACCACCTGCACCTCCGCCAACACCTCCTCCTCCACCTACTCTGCCTCCGACTCCAATGCCACCGCTAGCACCACCTCCGGCACCTGCACCAACACCAACACTTCCTCCTCCATGTTTATGACGTCGGCTTTTGCCACTACCATGACCAGTACCTGACAATCTTCCCAACACTTGCGTCGACATCAATAACACCATCACACACGCCACCACCCAACCCCTTCTCACGAACTTCCCCATATTTTATTTACTCTTTCTCTGATCTCTTTCTTTCTTAAAATACACACACACTCTTAGACTAAAAGATAGATTCCCAAACAATATAAGCTCGATCAGTACTAGCTATTTAGTTGATTACATTACCTTGGCAAAGAAAACCTATTTATAGCCAAAACTCATCAACAAGCACACACACGTGTCCTCTATTCACAGGTTCCTAAGAAAGATGAAAACCCACTCAAGAATCTTAAATCTCAAAGACGCGTCCAGACTCATTGGTCGACATGAATACGCAACGTTAGTCTTCTATAAGCACTAACAATTTTACTAAAGCTGATAATAATGATCACTTATAAGAAAACTCATGCACTCTTACTATATTCATAATTCATGTAACAGTTGTTTTGCTTAGTGGAATATTATACGTGCCTCTTTTCACCTCTCGCCATACGCACTTCCATAAACCATTATGCTATTTTTAGTGCCGTTTTTTTGGATATTTCTACTTTTTGCAAAGGTCAAAAAGATTTTACTACTAATCACAAACGCGTGGCGCACAAGGTTTCACATTACAATTAAACTGCGTTTTTAAGACGGGAAGATTTCATAATGAATATTTTAAGACAGAATTCGTTTTTTTTTTTTTGATCAAAAAGACAGAATTCGTTATGAATTTGTTTTCAAATACATATTGAGACGGTTTTCGATGAAATTGATTTTCGTCACATTTTTTTAAAATGATGAAATTGTTGGTTAAGCTTGACAATAACTTGAGATATAAGTTATTTATGAAAGAAATCAAGATTAGGAATTTAGGAGTTATCTAAATTAATGTTTAGGAGTTATCTAAACATATTCCTAGTTAGGTTTGGATTTGATTAAGTCTTTGTTATATAAAAAGATGCAAGAGTTGTTGCATAACTTATGAGATTAAGAGATTGAAAGAGAGATTGAGAGAGCTTTAGGTTTTGAGAGATTTTCTAAAAGAGTAATTCTTTTGTTGAATTCTTGATCTATACTTTCAAACTATAGAAATTTTACCAGAGTTTAATAACTTATTAACATAGGATTTTAGGAAGCTCACCAAAATTTATATTTAAGAAAACTTTGGGACTAGTTTAAGACGAAGAAAACGATACTTCTAAAAAAAATATGGGATAGATTTCATAACATATTTTACCAAAAAAAAAAAAAAAAAAAAAAAAAACAATTGTTACAATAGATTTGTCGCTAATTTGAGACGGAAAGTATAGTCGCAAATTTGAGACATTTGGGCTTGCGATAGATTATGTAAGCTAATTCTCAAACCATATTGAACTGCCGTTGATATATAAATGATCTGTTCTTTTTAGCTTTGACTTGGGGAAGAAAAGGTTTCATTTTAATAAAATTCTGCTAGCATACAATTTCTAAGCACAGTTTTGTGTCATGAAACAGACACCTTTTCTAACTACAAGATACCAAAAACTCTAACTACAACATGAAACATAACGACGGTTTTATTAACATACTTCTATAGAGCATTATTTTATTATAGGATGAATTAAGGGCAGATCTTGCTAAGCAAGTCTTCTTGCTCTTCATCTACTTTGATCCCATCTTTCTCCAACCTCTCTCGCATATCAGGACACATTTTTCCTTCAGATACATAAATCTTCATAAGATGAGTGTACGTTTTGGAATCTAGAGGCAACCGCTTGATCCATTTCCGCAACTTTCTGCAGAAAAAAAAAAATGGCGTGTAGTTTTTTGATGTAGTAAACCGTATTTTCTTATTGGGCCAACTTCGTGTGTTTAACCTTCTTCGGGCCTTGGGATTCTTGATTTCAACTCTGACGTTCTTGACTTGATTCCAACAATATCATGGAGTTTATTTATTACTCAATGCATGATTTGTATGGCTGAATTCATCGTGGAGAGCCGTCTTTAGATTTGATTTGAGTCCCCCAAACCCAGTAAACGTCAGTAACATTTGAGATTCCAGCATATGAGATTACCAAAACGAGACTACGAAAGCCACACACCAAATTGGAAGAAACGACTCATAGACATGAAACTTTATCCATCGTATTAAGATTCCACATTTAATTCACGCCACGGATGATGAATTCACTGGTCCAGAGAGGGAACGGCTGAGGTGGGAAAAGGAAAGAGGAGCCTAACCTCGACTGGTGGTGGATGAGGCTGAATTGAGAGAGTATTGTATACCAATCGCTGCTCTATTGCCATCGTCAGAGCAGCGACCATTGCATAGATCCTCCTTGATATATGCTATTTCCTTTTTCCTTTTATGTATCTGTATGTACACACACGTTTTATAAATGCATATAGAAGGCAAACTATAACGAGAAAATGAGTCTGAACAAAATGCTTCAAATGCATAGTTTTACAGAATATTAACTATATCACTAGACAGAGTCAAGCTGTAGGATGAATCAAGCGCAAATCTTGCTAAGCAAACATTCTTGCTCTTCGTCTACTTGGATCCCTTGTTCCTCCAACCTCTTTTTCATATCCGGACAAGCTTTCCCTGCAGAGAGATAAGTCTTCATAAGAAGAGTGTAAGTTTCAGATCCGAGGGGACTCCATTTCGTCAAGGTTTTGCAGAATTGTTCTGCTCCATCAACGTCTTTTGCTTCCTCAAAGTGAAGAAAGAACGAACTGATCAGCTCTGAGCTCCAAGTCCAGTTCTTGTCTAGATCCAAAACTGCCGCTTCAAAATGCTTCAGAGCCAAATCTGCCTGATCGTTCTTCAGCAGGTGCATCATCAAAAGCTGCCTAGCCTTTGAGAATTGACCTTTACACTTTTTCATGGCGCCATTGAAAACAGCCTCAGCTTCTTCGTACATGTTCTGCTTTAAATAGCTGCTAATCGCTACATTTGCCATCCGCATATCGTAAGTCCAGCATGTTGATTCCCATTCTGTAAAGATTTTCTTGATTCCATCAATGTCATTGAGTTTACTCAGTGCTTGGAGCATTGTAAGATAGCTAGAATTGTTGACATTAGGGTGTCGTTTCTTCAGCAAATCCCAAACTCGATAAACCTCAGAAGCATTTGCAATTCCAGCATACAAGCTAATGAGAAAATGATAACAATCACGGATGTGAGGATTCATCTTGTTCTCCAGAGATTTCAACGCCTCTTCTGCTTTATCGTAGAGGCCGACTTTAATATAAATTGCTGCCAGATTAGCAAAAGTATCCCAGGAGGAAATACCTTCACCTTCTGCTTTCATTTCATCAAGAACTTTCTCTACTCCATCTAAGTCCTTTAAACTTCCACAGCTTTGTATCCACATGGAGTAAGTGATATCACACGGGGTAATATTCTTCTGTTTCATCGCAACAACCAATGCAGGCACCTTCTCGGGTTGACCTAGCCGCAAATACATAGCCATCAGATTATTAAACGGCAATGAATTACTCACATGATTGAGATCAACCATATTATCAAAATGAGCCTTTGCCTTCTCTTCCTCCCGTTCCACGCAGTAGCAGTTCAATAGCGAACCATAAGTCGACTGATTCTTAATAGAAGCGTCTAAACTATCAAAGTAAGTTTCAGCCGCCTCTAAGCCTTTAGTCTTCGCAATAAGATCCAAACGAATTGCGTGATCGCTCCCAGTAAAGACGATTTCTTTTCTTTCCATCCACTCAAAGATCTAGAAACAACAAACAGAGAGAAACAGAATTCAGAAAAAACTCAAACATCATACACATTAAAGCTTCATAGACATTAAGCCTAGGAAAGAGGAGACAGACCTCGAGAGCGCGTTGAGGTTGACGAAACTTGCGAAGATCCTTTGCGTAACGAATAAGCTCGTGTTTTTTGACAGGTACACCTTCCATGACGAATTGATTTAGCGTTTCCTCCATTTTCCCTCCCCTCGTGCCAAGACTTGAGAGTTTCTTGTACACCGATGGATTCTTTTTCGCCTTCGTCGGAACAGAAGCAGCAGCCTCGCCGCTAATCGCCGCCGGAGAAGCAGCGAGCGTCGCACAGAACCTCCTCGCGAGGCGTGAAACGGAGTACATTTTCAGATTTACGGATTTTGAATTCTCAGTGAATGAATCCCAAAAAATGACAGAAATCTCAGTCTCACTCGATCCACCGAATCTATGATTTTGCTAGGGTTTAAAAGGCTTTTTAGTAAATATAAATAGAACTTCATGTCGTCTTTGTGTAACTAAAACGCCGTGTAGTTATTATTGTAATCGTTATTTGGCCATTACTGGAGCAAAAACTTGCAAAGCCAGCAGAAATGGCTATCCTTATCCATGTTCTTCCTCCGACGAGGACTGTCGTCTTCTCCAACTCATTTTCTACACATTTAATCCTACGAAGTCCCAAATTCACGCGGCGTGTCGTTGCCGTATCTCTGATTCCTCAGAGGTGGTTCCAATTTTGAATTTTTATCTCAATTCGACCAATTTTGTACATATATAAAAGTGTGATTTTGAATTTGATTCTAAGGTTAAATCAGATGAAGGAGCTTCGAAGTTGGAGTATAAGCCAGGACTTCTCGACGATTTCTTCATGCAATCGTTCCGGAACAAATTGGTCGAGGTGAGTTCTGAAATCGATTTGTTTGATTTCTTCGTGATTTTAGGGATTTAGTCTTTTTGATTTGGAGTGGTAATTAGGTTTAACATTAGTCTGATGTTCTTGTTTATGTTCAAGTATGTGTAACAGGAAGTCGGGTCGGATTCAGAGAAACCCGGGTACGTTGGGCTTATTGAGTTGGTGAAGCTTCTCTTGTTGAAAGGTCGATCTAAATCGGAGACAAGTGACGCTGCGGTATATTTCTCATTGAGAAAGCCATTTTTATAGAAACTTTAGGCTAAATTCTGAGTTTTGGTTCTTGTGGGATAGCTTTGATCAAATGCTTACCTTATTTTCGGTGGATACAGGTTCGAATACTGAAATCGTTGTTTCCTCCACTCATTTTAGAGCTTTATAAGCTTCTCATAGCTCCTATAGCACAAGGGAAATTAGCTGCTTTGATGGTTGGTGAGTTCTGTTGAATCTTCTTCAATCTTCCATGTCAATGAAAAGTTGGTAACAAATTAGTTTCTTCGGATGTGGTTTCCTATTATTTTACTGAGCGTAGGAGGCTTGACTTATTTGAGCTCAGCGAGCTTAACGGTTTTTCTTCTTTCTTCTGTTTTTTTTTTCCCATTGAAGCAAGAGTTACTGTACTTACCTGTCAATGGCTCATGGGACCGAGCAAAGTAAACATCATCGATCTTCCTAATGGAGAATCTTGGGATAGCGGGGTATGATCATACTGAACTTTTCATCTGTTTCCTTATGATTTGCTTTGTCAGATATTTTTCTTTCTATAAAACAAAGAGGAGTTGGAATCCAAGTAGGTTTTCGTGGAGAAATGTCAGTATCTAGAAGAAGCAAGTGTGTAGGAGTATGCATTAATACATGTAAACTACCAACTCAGGTATTCCTCTGCAATCCAACTTCACCAATCAACCAATTATTCTGTACTGAGTTGGTGTCTGCTTTAAAAAAGACATGAATTTGAAGACTTTGTCACGGTAGAATGGTAAGCTTACAAATCCCTGAAAATGTGGAATTCGTACTTTTTTCAGACGTTTTTAAAGACTACATGGGAGTTCCTTTGGTGATGGAACCAAACTTCAAAGATTATAGTTGCCAGGTACATCTTGCTTGCTCCTTCTCTAAGAATAGACATATCAACTCTAAGTTCATGGATTTACTTCACTTATCATCAATTGGTTTTAATCAAAATTAACATGTTGAGCTCTTCGATTGTTACCATTTTTATTAACATCTTCTTTGTCCAGTTATTAACCCCATTTTGTCTGAGTTTTTTTTTTTTGTCTTTCCATGTTTGAATCATAACAGTTTAAATTTGGAGTAGCTCCACCTGAGGATGATGGCAATGTTAACGAACCATGTTTTGAGACATGCTCAATCGCAGGCCGCCGGAAATTAAAATTTGGGGAGTGTCCTTTGGCGTAAAACTGTCGTTTGTTTGTCCATACACTGACATTTTATGTTGTGTAACTTGTGTATATCAACATTCTAGATTTGATTCTAGGGCTTATGAAAGAAAACATAAAATTTCTTTAACTATAAAATCTCTTACTTTAAAAGGTTTAGACTGAAATCTAATCCAATTGATAAAATTGATCTCTAAACGGTAAAAGGACACCACGTTCAGTTTGTTTTCACACTACATGCAATATAACAGTCAATTTTCACTAATTTTTGGCAATCTAAATGTTTTCAAGGTTGAATATATTATTGGTTCATTTTCAGAGTAAATTTTTTCTAACTCCTCGGCCTATTTAACATAGAAAATTTCAGTAACTTGAGTCGTAGGTGACAATTTCACATTCATGAGATTTAATCACCTGAAATGGAACTGTATAGCAAATCAAGAACAACATAGTTTATTCTCGGGTTGAGAAGAGGAGAAAAGCTTTTGAAAATATTGTACTTTCACTTCACCTTTAGAACCTTCCGTAAATAGATCGATGCCATTTTCGTCGGAGAATTGGTTTTTAACATTGGTTTCTAACTTTTAACGGATCAAAAAATCAACGGAGAAGTCCGTTTGTGAGTAAACTATACTGATATAATTGTTGACGCCTTTTGTTTTTAGCTACCGTTAGTGTTTGTTTTCCGTTAACGGCGTAGTTTAGTGTGCGTGGACAACATATACGCTCAAGTACGCCGCACGCTTCTCTTCTTTTTGTCGCGCATTCAAAAACCGAAACGATCAGAAAAAGAATACTTATTAAAGAATTAAATTTTGTTTTATTAATTTCTCAAAGGAGAAAAAAATAAAATAAAAGAGAGAAGGAGAGATGGAGCTTCTACAGTACTAAAAGCGGAGTGAAGCCGAAGAAATCTCCGCCAACGGAAATTTTTTCTGAGAGCTGAAAATCGTTGGGGACGATGGCGGATTCTCTTTCTAGGGTTTCTGGGGCTCTGTTTATTGGTGTAAATATATCGGATCCACCGTTGAAAACCCCCTGAAGAGTTTTTTTTTTTTCTCGGGTTTAAGGTCTTTTACGTTTCGTTTCTTCTCTGGATTTCGTCTTCCGTTGTGAGTTTTTGTTCTCGCGGCGAGTTTTGTGTAGATCTGAGGGTTTTCAAGCCAAGAGAAAGTGTCGGTGATGTCGATTTTCTCACTCGCGAGCTACTCTGGTAAATTCACGGACATCTATTATCTTCTTATACTCTCCTTTTCAAGTGTAGTGTTCTCGATTTTAAGGAATTATGAAATTGGAGGAAAAAAAGTTGTGATGTTTTGGATTTCTAATTTTGTCTATGGGACTTATTTGATATCTAGTTAATTTGTTTCTTTATCTGTTAGGTCACTCTGATTTTGGTTAGTGAATATCAAGTCACGATATAGATTTGGAATGTAGTTTGGGTTTGAACTTATCGTGCTCAAGATTTTGGGTTTATAGTTTCTAAATATGGTACATGAGCTTTAGCTCTGGACCCATATGTTAGATTATCCAGGCTAAAAAAGGCAAAGTAGGTTCGAATTGATTTTGATTTTGGACTATGCCCTTGTATCTTTTTCTTGACATATGGGAATTCATTAGGTTGCTTAAAGACACTCTTTCGATTATCTTGTTCTGCTACCATTAAAATCTGTAGAATTATTACTCCCAAATGGTTGCAATTTTTACCCATCACATGAACTAGCTTTAGTTCAGTTCTTGGTTTACCTCTATCTCACTGTTTCTAACTATATGTCAATCCCAGGTTCACAAAGAGATGTCCTAATAATGGCGTTGAAGGCGGTGGTTTTTGTATATTGTGTGGTTTCTCTCTTCAGTGTTCAGTTAGCTGATGCTCAACATGAAGGACTGCTAGTTTCACCAACGTTATCACCTTCAACTTCACCAGCTATCTCTGATCTGCCCCTACCAGCTGAATTTCCACGGTTTCACAGAAAGTATTTCGCACCACAACAAGCAGAAGCACCTGAGCATCCTCCCCCCTATAGTCGTTTGGTTGCCTCTGTCCATCCCCCTATCAACTCACATTTCTCCAAACCTTCCATGAAAAAGAATGCCCAGTCTCCTGGAGCCGGCTTGGTTGATATTGCTCCAGCACAATCTAGCAACGGTGCACTTCCTGATGCCTTAACTCAGCCACCTTTGTCCCCCTCCGTTTCAAGTAAGACTTTATCCAATCTCATAATTAAATCAACATTAGCCCTTTAAAGGATAATTTAAGTTCAATTTTCTCTCTTTTCCCATTTTGATTTGTCATTTGAATAACATGTTAGTTCAAGATTCAATTTGTATATTTTTTGTTCTTCCAGATTGTTGCAAACCAGATATGGTGCTTAAACGAAGAAGTATTGGTTGCCACTGTGTGTATCCTATAAAGCTAGACATCCTTCTCTTGAATGTTTCAGAAACTCCTAGTTGGAACATGTTCTTGAACGAATTTGCTACCCAGCTTGGCCTCCTACCTCACCAAATCGAGCTGATTAACTTCTATGTGCTAAGCTTATCAAGGATGAACATATCGATGGATATCACCCCTCATTCTGGAATTAGTTTTTCAGCCAGTCAGGCATCAGCAATAAACTCTTCGCTTATCAGCCACAAGATTCAGTTTAGCCCTACTTTGGTGGGAGATTACAAACTTCTAAACCTTACTTGGTTTGAGGCCCCTGCACCTTCTCAAGGTAACTACTTTTCCACAATTGTATCTGGGCAAGAATTCAATCGGCCCATCAATTCTGCACATTTGAGTTCACATCTGTGGTCAATAGCATTCAAGATAGCATAGCCAAAAGGAAGTAGACTGATATCGTTTTCTTTGTTAACAATAGCATCTCCCAGTTTGATGTTTTTTGGAGTTTATCACCATGATTCCTTGCATTTGCATTAAGATAGGTCTTAATATGTTTGCAGCACCTCTAGTGGCTTCTTCACCTCATAAAGCACCATCACAAGGATCCTCAGCATCTACGTCAGTAAGATCTCCAGGGAAAAAGAAGCATCCCAATCTTATTCTTATCTTTGCTATAGCCGCTGGTGTGCTTATACTTGCCATAATCACTGTGCTTGTTATTTGTTCCTGCGCACTCCGAGAAGAGAAAGCTCCTGATCCACACAAAGAAACTGGTAATGTACCTCTTCTGATTACAAGGTTTAAATCCTTTTATGTTAAGCCGATATCAGTAAGCAATACATGAATCATGTCAGAAGATACAGCATGTGAACGGCACATTGGAAAGTTAGCATAGATGTGGGGAAAAATCAACTTTTCTATTGGGTTTAAAGTTGTGTCTTTATTTGTCAACTCTAGATCTTTCATTTGGCCTTATGTAAAAGCCAACATACCGTAGGAATAAAACAAAAGGATTGGGAAAAATGGGGATACAGAGATGATGAATGATTGTTGTCCACTTACCAGTGTGATTTACTTTCCTATATCCTGGCAATTAACTTTTAGTTCTTGTTTTTAATAAAAACTTGATCGCATACTCCTTTCAGTAAAACCAAGAAACCTGGACGCTGGTTCAGTTGGGGGATCTCTTCCTCACCCAGCAAGTACACGGTTTCTGTCATATGAAGAACTCAAGGAGGCAACTAGCAATTTTGAATCTGCTAGCATTCTAGGGGAAGGTGGGTTTGGCAAGGTATACAGAGGCATCTTAGCCGATGGTACTGCTGTAGCGATTAAGAAGCTAACAAGTGGAGGGCCACAAGGCGATAAAGAATTCCAGGTGGAGATTGATATGCTAAGCCGTCTTCATCATCGTAATCTTGTGAAACTTGTGGGTTACTATAGTAGTCGAGATTCTTCTCAGCACCTACTTTGTTATGAGCTCGTTCCAAATGGCAGCCTCGAGGCTTGGCTCCATGGTAATATATACTCTTCGCTTCCCTTGCTGCCTATTTTAAGATCTGACATTATTAAAAGAAGTTATTGTAGTTATCTACAAGAGTGGTTCATCTAAGTAATTGTTTATGCTTCAGGGCATCTAGGGTTGAACTGTCCTCTTGATTGGGACACCAGAATGAAGATTGCACTTGATGCTGCAAGAGGACTTGCATACCTTCATGAAGACTCACAACCGTCGGTTATACATAGAGATTTTAAAGCCTCTAATATACTCCTTGAAAACAATTTCAATGCCAAAGTTGCAGATTTTGGCCTAGCCAAACAAGCTCCTGAAGGCAGGGGTAATCACTTATCTACCCGTGTTATGGGCACATTTGGGTGAGTTGCTCATATCTCTCGACAGTTTTCATATAGAACCTTAAATTCTGAGTTGCCTATTGAAATCTGGGATCTGTTTCAGGTATGTAGCGCCTGAATATGCAATGACGGGACACCTACTCGTCAAGAGTGATGTTTATAGTTACGGCGTGGTCCTTCTCGAGTTGTTAACTGGTAGAAAACCTGTGGATATGTCACAACCTTCAGGCCAAGAAAATCTCGTCACTTGGGTAAGTAAAGTAAAAACTTATTGTCTTCTCCTAGCTCTTCCTGCATTCTCATTCTCGAAGACTTAGCTTTTGAAGTCTCGAATGTAAAAATGTGATTCTGGATGCAGACAAGGCCAGTTCTAAGAGACAAAGACCGGTTAGAAGAACTAGTCGATTCAAGACTCGAAGGAATATACCCAAAAGAAGATTTCATAAGAGTCTGCACAATCGCTGCAGCTTGTGTTGCACCTGAAGCTAGCCAGAGACCAACGATGGGCGAAGTGGTTCAGTCACTTAAAATGGTTCAACGGGTGGTTGAGTATCAAGACCCGGTTTTAAACACTTCAAATAAAGCTCGTCCTAACCGGAGACAATCATCAGCTACGTTCGAGTCAGAAGTAACATCTTCTATGTTCTCTTCTGGTCCTTATTCTGGTCTAAGCGCTTTTGATCATGAGAATATTACACGAACAACTGTTTTCTCAGAAGATCTTCACGAAGGCCGATGATAGAAGCCATGGTTTTCTTCTTTTAATTCTTCTTCTTTTAATTTTTTTTTCTCCCACTTACGGTGAGAAAATTTCGAGCAGAGAAGCTTTTGAGTTTGGGACATTATTACAGCTCTTTGGATTTTGGGTTCTCCTTTACTGGAGGATAAGATTTTGTATATATATGTTTCTTATTTCGTTAATTAACCACAATCATCAGATAGAAAAATAGAATTTGAATACTTTTTTTTCAATTAAAAACTATCTAGGGGATTGGTTTGCATTTAACTGTTACTTCTTAAAATAATTGGCCCTTGCAAAACTACTAATTAAAATAGGGTTTTGTGCAAATAAACCTTCAACTCGCTAGTTTTTGCAATTTTACCATTCACCTCCCAAAAAAGTAGATAAATAATACGAAGTCATAAATAATACGCAATATAACCCTTATACGTATATTGTAAACGTTTTTATGGTCACATACATTAGATTTTTAAAATTCTAAAGGTAGAGTTGAACTTCATATCGTGGGGGTTTCAATTTAACATATTATTCATCAAAATTTTACAAACTCTATAATAGCGAAAAATGTTTACATTGCGTATTATTTTTAACTTTGTATATTTAATTTGCATTTTTCAGAAGTGAAGGCTAAAGTTTAAAAAAGTTGACGAATTGGAGAGTTTTTTTTTTGCGCAAAACCCAATTAAATACAACTATTTTTTTTGGTAAAAATAAGAGAGAAAAAAAGGAAAAAAATATAATTAAATACACACACGTATAAGCACTATTCATACACACGTGTGGCTTTCCTTGTATGTAACCCCCTTCCAGTCCACACTCCGTTCGTCCTTCTCACAAAGCTGAAAAAAAGCAGAGAGAGTTCGAGTGGAAGAGAAGCGGAAAGCTCGAGGAGTCATCAATGGTGACGGATGATAGCGACTCCTCTGGAAGAATCGTACTCAGATTTACCTTTCAATCTCCTCCTTTTTTTCGTTTGAAATTATATCTGATTTTGCTCGTATTCGCATGATCGTTCGTGCTTTTTTAATCTGATTGTTCGTTGGAGTTTGTCAAATTATAATCGCTCTCTCGCTTATGTTTACTGTTGGAGTTGATGGACTTGATAGGATTAGTGTTTGTCCTCGTTGATTTTGTTTTTTCACGACTTTTGTTTTGAATGTTTAAACGTTTTTTGGGCTTCTAAATAGAAGTCTCATGTAGATGATGATGAAGAAGATAGGCTCGAGGGTTTGGAGAACAGATTAAGTGAGCTTAAAAGGAAAATTCAAGGAGAAAGAGTTAGGTCTATTAAAGTAAGGGAGTTTCTTCTATACATGATGTTCTTTATTAATTATACTAATTTCTGAAAAATGTGAAATCATTGATTGGTTTTGATTATTCTTCTGGGAATGTAGGAGAAATTTGAGGCTAATAGAAAGAAAGTGGATGTTAATGTTACTCCCTTTTCATCTGCTGCATTGAGCCGGGCTACCGCAGGGGAGAATGGAAATAGCAATGTGTTTTCTTCGAGAATGGAAATACCACTCTGCAAGTTAAATGGTTTTTCTCATGGGGTGGGAGATAGAGACTATGTTCCTACTAAGGATGTTACAGCAGCAAGTGTCAAGCTTCCGATTGCTGAGAGAATACCGCCTTACACTACCTGGATATTTCTGGACAGGTATGCACTTTATTTTTTTCATTCTCGTCTATAACTATCACAACTAGTTTTGGGTGCGATTGTGGTCGTTTGTTTGTCTGAGTATAGGAGGTTCACAATGATCCCCTCATTGAAGTTGAATTAGTATTCTCCATTCGTAGATTTGCTTATAATGTATTAATTAGAAGCATTTTTCTCCAGTGTGGGCTAAATGGGAGATAATGGCAAAACAATTTCTGAAAATATCTTTAACAATGCAGAAATCAAAGAATGGCGGAAGATCAGTCTGTGGTTGGTCGAAGACAAATTTACTATGAGAGACATGGTGGTGAGACACTGATATGCAGCGATAGTGAGGAAGAACCAGAACCTGAGGAGGAAAAACGTGAATATTCCGAGGGTGAAGACTCTGTTATATGGTTAGTTTTGCAAAGAGCGTAAATCATGGGCTGTCATGTACTCTAATGGGGAAAATTTGTGATACTGGTATACTTATATAAATATTTGAAGAAGGAATGAAGTACCTGGGTGGAATTTATTAATCAATGAATCGCATTTACTGATGCTAGAGAAAGATGACATCTATCATATTCATATCAAATTTCATTCTGCATTAGCAGTAGCTTTGAAATTTATCTCACTATATGTGAATTTCGTAATAACTGCTTTGAGTTGAATTGGCAGGTTGATTGGGCAGGAGTATGGCATGGGTGAGGAAGTGCAGGATTCTCTTTGCCAGTTTCTCAGCGTAGATGCTTCAGACATTCTGGTGTAGTTTTAGTCATCCTGTTCTTGTGGTTTATCTAATTATGTTTTTCTGGTCTTCCTATTCTTCTTCACTAATGGTGTTTGACTCTCCGGTCTGCTGCAGGGAAGATACAATGAACTCAAGTTGAAGGATGAGCAGAATACTGAGGACTTTTCTAATTCCGGATTCAAGCTTGGAATATCTCTGGAAAAGGACCTTGGTGCAGCTCTAGATTCTTTTGATAATCTTTTCTGCCGCCGTTGCTTGGTACTTGGACTGTTCTTTTGTGACAGAGAGAGCATGTATTACTAAGTATTTGTTAATCCTTCTTTTGTTATTTCTAACAGGTATTTGACTGTCGTCTGCATGGATGTTCTCAGCCTTTAATTAGTGCTGTAAGCTTGAATCTGTCTTTACTTTCTTTAGTTGAATTACTAATGAACAATATAACCGGAAGACTTTGGTTGACAGAGTGAAAAACAGCCTTATTGGTCTGATTATGAAGGTGATAGGAAGCCCTGCAGCAAACATTGTTACCTCCAGGTCTATCTCTCTGTCTCTTTACACGCTCAGAGAGACGCATATATTCGTGGTTAAGCAGGAAAAAATTCAGTTTAGTGTATCCCCTCAATAAACTATATTTGAACTGTGAGATCATGGAATAGATGTCATCTGTTCTCTGAACTAGGTTGAGGTTTAGCATGTATGTGTCTGCTAGAGGAGTGATCTTTCATCTAGTTGTAAGAATGCATAGTCTTGATTATGTATGATTTTCTCTTGGTTCCGGAGTTTGAATCACCATTACTCTTACGTTAATGGTTTTAGGTCAAGGCGGTCAGAGAAGTACCTAAAGCAGAAGAGAAAGCTTCAAAAGAGGAATGCAGCAAGGCTATCTCCTCAGATGACCCTCATGATGCTGCTACTGGTGTCAATCTGCAAGTTGAGAAGACTGATATTGGTTTCAAGAATTTAGATTCATCCTCTGGTGTAGAACAAGAGCATGGAATTAGGGGAAAGCGTGAGGTCCCGAATCTCGAAGACTCCAATGATCTGCCTAATTTATCAAACAAGAAACAGAAGACCACAGCCTCAGATACAAAAATGTCACTTGTTAATTCTACCCCTAGCTTAGATCAGGCATTTGATAGCTCAAAGGGTGATCAAAGTGAAACAGTTGAGACCAATAATGTAAACAGAGACTCAGGAGCTGATTCAAAAGAAGTAGCTGAACCTATTCCAGACATTTTGGTCCATGATGGTGGTTCCTCTGTTTGTCAGCCAGACCATGGTAGTGGAAATGGATCAATAATCATTGGAGAAATGTCTGAGAAAAGTCAACCATCTACAGAGTGGAACCCTATCGAGAAGGATCTTTACTTAAAGGGAGTCGAAATCTTTGGGAGAAACAGGTAAACTGGATCGTGGTAAATATTATCTTCAAACACAGAACATGGATTTACATATAGTATGTTTTGTCCATGATGTCTCAGCTGTCTTATTGCAAGAAACCTACTTTCTGGCTTGAAGACATGCCTAGATGTGTCCAGTTACATGCGTGAAAACGAAGTTTCAGTTTTTCGAAGATCTAGCACCCCAAATTTGCTGTTGGATGATGGCAGGACTGACCCAGGGAATGATGTAAGCTCTTGATTTTCCTAGGTTCTTTTTTCTTTTTAATTTTTCTGTGGTCTCTGCAACTTTGGGCGTTTCTGTAGCCAGTTTCAGGGAAAAATAAGTAAGGAAAAAAGTTCTGATCTGGATAAGCCAATTTCCTTACTTATTTTCCCCAAAAACTGCATTGGGCAAGAGAAAACGATAGTTGGCTGCTTAGACAAGTGATTATTTTATTTGTGATTTTATCGATATTAGCATGCCATATCTTTCAGAAATCACATTTTAGTTTATACTGCTCTCTTATTCTTTACTTTACAGGATGATGAGGTGCCTCCAAGGACAAGATTGTTCCGTAGAAAAGGTAAAACTCGAAAGCTAAAATACTCTACAAAGTCTGCTGGTCATCCATCTGTCTGGAAAAGAATAGCCGGTGGCAAAAACCAGTCCTGTAAACAATACACACCATGTGGATGCCTGTCAATGTGCGGAAAGGATTGCCCTTGTCTAACCAATGAAACTTGTTGCGAGAAATATTGCGGGTATGCAAACAAATTAACATCAAATGAAGTAACAGAGGATCTACTTATAACCACCCGTTGATTTAATTCAGGTGCTCAAAAAGCTGCAAAAATCGCTTCCGAGGATGTCATTGTGCAAAGAGTCAATGCAGAAGTAGGCAGTGTCCCTGCTTTGCTGCTGGCAGAGAATGTGATCCAGATGTTTGCAGAAATTGCTGGGTTAGGTAGTCAGTTTATATCCAGATCTCTTGATGTGCCACATACAATCAATTCTACTATCTGATGACTAAATTACTTGCTTATTTACTCAGTTGTGGAGATGGTTCTCTCGGCGAAGCACCAAGACGCAGAGAAGGGCAATGCGGAAACATGAGACTTCTCCTGAGGCAACAACAGAGGGTATAATGTCGTCATCAAATTACGTATTTACGATAAATAAAATGCATTCATTGTTGATAAATCTAGTTTCTTGTGTGCTATATTTACCAGATACTATTGGGAAAGTCTGATGTTGCTGGATGGGGTGCTTTTCTAAAGGTAAAGCATGTGAATCTTTTTCTCATTAACTACTGTTTCATACCTCTTCTCTCCAGCTGATCGCTTGATCATCATCTGATTATCAGAACTCGGTCAGCAAAAATGAGTATCTCGGAGAATACACTGGCGAATTGATCTCACACCGCGAGGCGGATAAGCGTGGGAAAATATATGACCGGGCAAATTCGTCTTTCCTTTTTGACTTGAATGATCAGGTGACTAAATCTCACAGCCTTCTTTTTGATATTTTCCTCTTGAATTTCGTATCTATAAGTAAGCTTTTAATATTTGCAGTACGTCCTCGATGCTCAACGCAAAGGAGACAAGCTGAAATTTGCCAATCACTCGGCAAAACCCAATTGCTATGCTAAGGTACTAAAAGCTTCTCTCTCATCAATTTTGGTATGAAAAAACTACATGATCGTTTAGTAATTATACCTTCTCTCTCACCTCTAGTTACTCGAAAGTTCCATTTAGGAGTACTAGGATTAGGGAAAGATTGCTATCAACAATAAAGGAACAAAATAAAAAGATAACATTTTGTAGAAAACTAATCGCGACTAGCACTATAGAAAACAAATGATCAAATCTAGCTTTGTAGGTTATGATCAAAACACACTTGTTTCTGCAATCTTTATAAGTGTAATATGTAAAAAAGTAACGTGTGTACATCATCTGCTAGATTTATTCAACCCTTTTCAAAGGTGTTAATTATTTGCAAAAGGACCAATTTCTGGTCTATAGTAGTAGTAACCATGGTATCATCTCTTTTCGGATAAGTACGGTATGTTTCTTGATGTGTAAAAGAGCTTTATTATGTATGTATACAAGAAAATTGAAGGGTCTTTTTTTTTGTGTTATGTTGTAGGTGATGTTTGTAGCAGGAGATCACAGGGTCGGCATTTTTGCAAACGAACGAATAGAAGCTAGCGAGGAGCTTTTCTATGACTACAGATATGGACCAGCCCAAGCACCAGCTTGGGCTCGCAAACCTGAAGGCTCCAAGAAAGATGATTCAGCCATTACTCATCGTAGAGCCAGAAAGCATCAATCTCATTGATGATTGCTGGCTAACAGAGGTAAAATCAGAGCGTCACAGAAGAGAAGTAACTTTTAAAAAATAATTTGTAAGAGATGATATTTGAAGTTGCGACTTTAAAATTTATCTTTATACAATAGAGTTGTGAGATAACTTATTTTGACATTGGGTTTGGATTTTGTATAGGGGATAAAACAATTTATGAATTACTGGGGTCAATAAGTAAAAAAAAAACAAAAAATAGTTTCAAATTTATGGAAATTATCTTTAATTTTTGAACGTAATCGAAAGTCGAATCACACCACACTAAACCAGTCCCTAATCTTATTATTAACTATTAAACCGATTTCCGGTTATCGGAGTCCTGAGGGACGGGTTTAAAAAACACAGCTTCGACCAACGTAGACGTAGTTCGAATCGGATACGGGCTCCGTTTTCCAGTTGGATTAGTCGGATCCACTTTCTTCTTGCTTTTCAATTCACATTACGAATCTCCGACGCTAAAATTCTGCTTCCGGTAACAGATAATTTCGTCGTCGAGAAGAAGCAGGCATAAAAAAAAATGGCGACGGAGGCAGCTCCGATGGACGAAAAGGCGAAGAGAATGAGAGATCTATTGTCGAGCTTCTACGCTCCGGATCCTTCAATCTCGACGAGTAATTCCTCGATCAGCGCTTCTTTCGATAACATCAACAGTACTTCATTCGATGCTGATCAGTACATGGATCTCATGGTTAGTCTTCGTTTCTCGTCCTGCTCGGTAGATTATTCGTTAATCGCCAGCAGAAGCGTCAATAGCTTGTAAATTGTATCAATTATTGAGTATTTCGATTCACTGAAGTTAGATTCAGCTCCTTGATCTTGCTCTGACGGGTTAGTTCGAAAGTTAGAATAGGTTTAGATCCGACTAGTATCTTCTGGAGCATGAAAACATAATTGCTAGTTTTGAATTGTACCCTTCGGATGAGGTTTACAGTGCAATGTGCTTGTAGAGGACTCTTGATCAATGTGGTGGGTCATGAATTTCTCCTTGCTGGTTTTTTTTTTCTATGCTGGAATCTTATGAGAATTCTGCTAAATTTAGTTGTACTTATCAAAGATCTTCCTGCAATGATTGATAGTTCCTCACTGAATTTGGTTTATGAGGTTTGTGTTAAGTGTGGTGACAGTAGTGCTAGCGATTTGATTGAGAAATATGCCACGATCTGGTGGTTTTATCGGCTTGTGCAGATTAAAAAATCGAATTTGGAGGTGCTTCTGCAAAGACATGTTCAAATGGCTGCTGAGATTAAAAATCTCGATACAGACTTGCAAATGCTAGTCTATGAAAATTACAACAAGTTTATCAGTGCAACAGATACCATCAAAAGGTACTTGTAATGGCTCATGGATCGTTTCAGGTGTTAAGTGTGTGATTCTCTTAAACATCTTTAACACTTTCTCTATATGATTTGATTTCACCGCTCCAGAATATATTAAATTCAAAATGTTGCTTCTTTACCTGGTAGGATGAAGAGTAATATTTTTGGGATGGAAGGCAATATGGACCAGCTTCTTCAGAAGGTCTTTTGAACACAGAGGATAACACGTAGTTTTGGGTTTTTTGATGGGAACTTCTAACTCATAGTATGATCTCCCAACTGACTCATGCAGATAATGTCAGTACAATCAAGGAGTGATGGGGTCAACACTTCTCTTTTCGAAAAGAGAGAACATATAGAGAAACTGCACCGGACTCGTAATCTTCTTCGTAAAGTTCAGGTATGTAATTTGTCATTGTTGCTAGCTCATTTTATATATCTGCTGTGTTGTCACCTGATCATTATAACAACAATATACCGCTTGCTATTATGAATTTACTCAAAATAATTTTTGTTAAAAAGAGCAGTTCATCTATGATTTACCTGCAAGACTGCAAAAATGCATCAAGTCAGAAGCCTATGGCGATGCTGTCAGGTTCTATACTGGAGCAATGCCAATTCTCAAGGTTTACATCTGTCCTCGGAAAACTTTTCCATTTTTTTGTAGTATTTTCATGTTATTGCGGCATTTAACATTCTGAAGATATATATGGAGATATGTTTAAAAATGTGAATTTCTCATTCTGTTCAGGTATATGGCGATACATCATTCCAAGATTGCAGACGAGCTTCCGAAGAAGCTATAGAAATCATCATAAAGAACTTACAGGTATACCTTTTGGTCCTAGTAGTCTATACTTGCCTGACTTAATAAAAATCTACATACTGGTTTATCAACCATATAAACAAATAACTAGTCTTTATGTTTTGTGTTTGTTATTTCTTTGAATTCTTGATGCGAGAAACCTATTTTGTCTTGTTCGACAGACGAAGCTATTTTCAGATTCAGAATCCATACAGGCGAGAGCTGAGGCTGCAGTGCTTCTTAAGCAGTTAGATGTCCCTGTCAGTTCTTTCTCTCAGCTCAATTATTTATGACTTGTTTAATTTGTTAAAACATCTATAATTTGAGTGAAGGTTGGAGCTACCTAGAACGTTCCTAATGTTCATACTCTTTTATGTACAACTGGAGTGTTTTCTTTGTTGCGTAGACGTATCACTGGTTGTGAATAAATTTGGATTGCACATCCTGCAGGTTGATAGCTTAAAGGCTAAACTGTTGGAAAAACTGGAACAATCTCTTGATGGTCTGCAAATAAAGCCTGAGGAGGCAAGTAAACTTGTAGAGCACGATGATTCATCTAACGATACAGAAAGCAATGACCAACATCCTGCTAAAATTCATGAGGTAATCATGGACTATGTCACTTCCTTATGTTTTGTGTTTTTGATGAATGCAAGTTGGAACACAGTAAAACTGAGTGTATCTATTAAGTACTTTAAATATCAGCAGCTGCTTTACAGCAGATTTTCTCATTAGCCACCACATTGAGATTTATTTTCTTTTATTTCTTTTGGTCTATCAGACTTGACGAGCTTTTTTTCTGTACTTTCAATATTTTAATGGTTGTCACCTTTTTACGGATAGGATGCTGTACGTGGATTTTCTGAGGCCATGCGTGCCTACCGAGAGATATTCCCTGACTCAGAAGAAAGACTTTTCAAACTCGCGAGAGCCTTAACAGCAATGTAATGCACTTTTCTTTGATTATTGATCCATAAATCGAGACTTTGTTTGTGTCTGACCTGTGGAATTTCTAATACTTATGGTTGTTAGGCACTTTGAGAACATGGAGCTATATATAAGAAAACGGGTTTCTGCAGCAGATTTTCTTGGAATTTTTCGTGAGTACAGTGATTTTCCTTGTGCCATTGTCTCTTTTTTTTTGTTGCTTTCCATTCCCTCTGTAAGCTTTGGTTAAATCAGTCTAATAACCATATACCCTGTGTGATTTCTGTTGAACGTAGGAATTATATGGGAAGATGTTGTACTTATGGACGAGGTGCTACCTGAGGCTGCACTCTCTGATTTATCTGCAGAGGTTGACCCTCATTTGTTTTGTGTGGTTCTATTTTTCGTTATAATGTGTAGAACTATATATGATTACTAGCACTCCTCATTTCAGGCTGCCCAGGTTACTCTTAAGCAATTTGTTGCGAGGACGTTTTCTCATCTTCAACAGGATATATCAGGTTCGCTGTTTCTTAATTTCTACTGGATGCAGATATTCCCAGGGACGGAAAAGAGAGAAAATGAGTATAGCTTGAATAATGATTCATAATAAGTTCTGTGACATGGCCTCTAAGTAAATTTGAAGAGTAGATTAATCTCTTCGTGAAGTTTTATTTTTCGAAGAAAATAGAATTATAATGCGGTATATACATGGCAGATACTCTGTTGAAATTCGATATCAACCAAAAGGAAGCAGTTGAGGGGGAAATCTTGAAGGTTATCCTGGAAGCTAGCCAAAAAGCAGTGCTACAAGGCACCACAAATATATTCCAGGCACATTCCTTCTTCTGTTATATATTATATTTTGGCTGTTATTTCATCTGTCGGAATTCCATGCTCAAAACGCTTATATTTGTTTTATCACTTCAGGACTTCCGTCAGCTTCTTGATGAAAACGCTGGAATATTTATAAAGATGAGGGATTTAATCAGTGGTTGGATTCAGAAAGGATTTCAAGACTTCTTCAGGTCACTAGAAGCTCAATTTCTAGTGCTTTCTGGAAAAACTAGCGCATCAAACGATATAGAGGGAAAATCGAGTGACAAAATTCATGCTGGTCTCATCCTTGTATTGGCGCAGCTCTCTGTATTCATCGAACAAAAGGTCATCTCGAGAGTTACTGAGGTGAGAGTCTTACAACTACTTTTACATAAAGTTTAAATCATATTGTTAGCTGGTTTTGAGAAATTTCATATGCTAATTCAGGAAATAGCTGCTTCCTTCTCTGGTGGAAATTCCCAAGCCTTTGAGAATGGACCTGCTTTTATTCCTGGAGAACTTTGCCGGGTCTTCCACGCAGCCAGCGAGAAACTTCTCCAGCATGTATGAATGAAACTCCAAAACTTGAGGTCGTTTACCAAAACTTAACATCAACTAACTAAATCATTTCATATTTCAGTACATAGACACAAGAACACAGAAGGTATCGGTTTTGCTGAGAAAAAGGTTCAAGACACCAAACTGGGTGAAGGTATTGCTGTTGTCGTGTGGCTAATCTTCTTAGTAAATCATTTTACCAGTCATTGTTTTCTAAATATTCCAAATATTATGCAGCACAAGGAGCCACGAGAGGTTCACATGTATGTCGATATGTTTCTTCACGAGGTTTGACAATCCTTCTCCTCTTTATCTGGAAATTATCTAAAGAACATGCAATAACTCATATATTTTTTTGGATTTCTAATTCACAGTTAGAAGAAGTTGGTAAAGAAGTGAAACAAGTTTTACCTCAAGGGACTTTCCGTAAGCACAAAAGAACAGACAGCAACGGAAGTAACACTACAACCTCATCACGAAGCAATACACTCCATAGCGATAAGATGACACGGTCAAATTCACAAAGAGCTCGTAGTCAGCTTTTCGAGACACATCTTGCAAAACTGTTCAAGCAAAAAGTAGAAATATTCACCAAGGTTGAATTTACCCAGGTAAGAACGAAACAATTAAAGGTTCCCTTTTAGTCATAATATATCCATCAAACAAACATGCTCGTCATCTCCTGATCTGTTTTTCTTTCTTTTTGCGCTTAAATGCTTACAGGAATCCGTTGTTACAACAACGGTAAAGCTCTGTCTGAAGAGTTTGCAAGAATATGTCCGGCTCCAAACTTTTAACCGGAGCGGGTTCCAGCAGATTCAGCTAGACATTCAGTTCTTAAAAGCTCCTTTGAAGGAAACAGTTGAGGACGAAGCTGCAATTGACTTCTTGCTCGACGAGGTGATTTACGCCTAAAGCTTCTTCATTTGCATTTCTTCTCGTTACCACCTAGTACTTTAGGGTTTAGCGAGTCTGTCTAGCTTTTGCAACTGACCATATTCTCGGACCATGTTGTGTGTTTGTATAAACAGGTGATCGTTGCGGCTTCGGAGAGATGTCTTGATGTGATTCCATTGGAGCCACCGATTTTGGACAAACTCATACAAGCTAAACTCGCTAAATCAAAGGAGCACAACAACAACACAGTTTCTTCTTAAAAGTTGCAATAACTCGAACAAAGTATGTGTCATGATTTTTGCCAATTTCTTTCCGCTTCTTGTTATCAATCCGTAGTTGTAAATCAAAACCATTGAATCGTTGTGTTTTTTCAGAAACTCTCTAGCATTAAACCATTAAATCTATACAGTATTTTATTTTTTACTGTTTTGAACAAAATTATTTTAAAAATTTCCTTTTTTTTTTAACAACATGCAATAGCCACAAGGATTTGCCATATAAGCTAAGATATGTGGAAACCCTAAATTAAACTACATAAATTCCTAAGTACATTAAAACCTTTAAAATTAAATTACGATAAATAAAAAATATTCATAGTCGGTTTGGTCGATCGAGTCACGGATCTTTATTATATAAGCGTTCCTCGAGACTTGTTTCTAAATTATCTCTCTCTCTAATCAAAAAAAGCTAAAAAGCGATGGCCACTGCGATGGTTCTCTCTTCTCAAAACCATCGATTTGATCACGAAACCCTAATCCACCGTAACCCTAATTCTCGCCTTTGCCGCCACTCACACGATGCTTCGACGGCTCCTCGCCGACGCAAGCGAAGCCCTACGGTTGTTAAATCTCCGGCGGCGAATACCAATCTTGTAATGGAACAAGTCAAGATCCTCAAGCGCGGTGAGACATTGAGTGCGTTTAAGAACAAAGAAAACTGTAGCCCCGATGATACAAGACGACCTGTTTTGAAGATGATTAAAGATGTTGATGTGATTGTATCGTCTACTAATAGAATTGGACCTGAACCAGAGATTTTGATGAAACAGATCGGAGCTTCTAAAGGATTGCAGATCTTCTCCGGAGCTATTTGCTCTATTTCGCCGCTTCCAAGCTGTGTTCCAATTCCATGTTTCTTAGGGAAGAACAATCTCCTTATTTAGATCTCCGAAGGAAGATTTGGGGGAAAAAAACACTAGAATCAAAACCTTCTTTTCGATGGTCTTTTAAGAACAGATGTGTGAAGAATCCTGAGAAAGAGAGTAAACAAATTTGTTTGTTTATCTCAAAGAAGAAGAAGAAGAAGAAGATGGAGAATGTGATCACAAAACGCCAATTGCAACCAAAACTTATACTCTGTGTTTTGGTGTAACAGTCACTGTGACTCTTTTCTATGGCTTTTGTAGTTTTTTTTGTTTTTGTTTGGATTTTGAAGTTTGTAGTTGTCACTTTCACATGATTCAAATCTCTTTTATGCAATAAAAATCTTATAGTAATACATAACATAAGTTTCTTGAAAGCAAGACAAAAACTAAAATCTTTCTTCTTACTAACAACAGAATCAGTTTATATTCTCTTTTAAACAGGGTTATTTGATTCATTCTTGCTCTCATCTTCAAGATTTGTTGCAGGTAATACTTTTTTCCAGAACCAATGTTTACTCCACAAGAGTGTCATCTCTTCTATTGGAACTCCTTTGGTTTCAGGCAACAGGAAATAGACAAAGATGGTCATTACTGTGACCCAACCAGCAAAGAAGAGGAAGATTCCAAACTTGAATGCGCAGAGGAGACCGAGGAAAGCTTGAGCTATGATGAAAGTGAAGAGGAGATTTACGGCTACCGTGATACTCTGCCCCGCTGAACGAGTCTCTAACGGAAAGATTTCGCTCGGTATGGTCCAACCGAGAGGACCCCATGACCATCCGAATGCTATAACAAAGAGGCAAATGAAGATGACTACGATGACTGAGTACCCTTTTGATAGCTCTTGGTTGTCTCCAAATTTCACTCCTAAGATCACTGCAACTATGACTTGACAGATTATCATTTGTATTCCTCCAGTGATGAGAAGAGCTCTTCGTCCCAGTCTGTCCACTAATCCTATGGAAATAAATGTTGATAGGACAAGAACAGCTCCTGTTAAAGCTGATGAGTAGAGAGATGCGTTTCCTCCAAATCCCATTGTCTGGAACAGAACAGGCGCGTAGAAGAGAATTGAGTTTATCCCTGTGAGGATCTGAAACATTGGCATGCAAATCGCCATAACTAGCTGAGGCCTATGTCGTTTCTGCAGGATGTTTCTGAATGGATGTTTGATTGAATTCGCAAGCTCACTCGCATCTACCATGTCTTGAAGCTCGGCATTGACGTTTTCCGTCCCTCTTAGTTTCACTAAGACACGTCGACCTCTCTCTGTCAATCCTCTTTCGACCAAACTGTTGGGAGTCTCGGGTAAGAAATACCCGCCAAGCGTCATAAGCAGAGCTGGAAAAGCAGCCAAACCAAGAGAGAGTCTCCATCCCCAAGGCTTAAGCTGTTGAGTACCGTAATTGACCATGTTCGCCGTAAAGATCCCAATAGTTGTAGCTAACTGAAACATCATGTTTAAACCGCCTCGCAGATGAGTTGGTGCCACTTCTGATAAGTACAAAGGAACCGCCTGAAAACAAAACCAAAGCAAGCTAACTAAGATGAGACTGGTTCATCCCCAAAGCAAGTAAATTTTCATTAAAGATGTGATTGGTTTATCGGTGAATTCAACTAAACAATTGTCTAACCTGATTTCCAAATCCAATGCCAACACCGAGCATGATCCGTCCCGCAAGAAGCATAGCAAGGTTGACAGCTCCAGCATTCAAAGCAGATCCAATAAGAAAGCTGATTCCACCACAAACAATACTCGCACGCCTACCATAGTTCCTAGTGACGGGTGAAGCCACGAGAGTCGAAACCAAACCAGCTAAGTAGAGTGAAGAAGTAAAAGCAGCTAATCCTTGATTATCATATTTGCAGTAATTACTTTCATGAGCATGCTTCTTCTTCTCATAAACCGTATGGAAAAACTCCTCAAGAAACTCATCCATCGACGTAACTCCTCCTGCAAACAAAATAAACATTTCAGCCAAATTTGTTTAGATTATTAGATATTGGATTCAAAAGAGGAAGAAAAGAAGAACCTGAGACTCCAATGTCATATCCAAAGATGGATCCACCAATGGCTGCAACAAGGCAAGCTATTATGACATAACTAGTAACTTTCCCTTGGTATTGTTCTGCTCTCTCCTTAGCCACACCGGTCGGACCAAACGACCCTCCTGCCATTTTTCTTCTTCTTCTTCTTCTTCTGCTACTTTGCTTCTTTTTAAGAGTTTGTTGCAACGGTTGACTTTTTTTGTTTTTACTCAAATTCCAGAATCTGACAGACAACGAAACAAAAAGGGTTATATACATTTACATCTTCACGTGGTTAGATAGATTCAATTTGGTTAGTTTTTGGAGAAATTGAATGTGAAGTTTTTCCTACTTTGAGATTTGTGATAATTGCGTGTGGATTCGTGTTTGGTACATACTTGTTTGGATTTAAGTTCCAACAATTAAAGACGTCATTTTCTTGACCTTATCTTCACACACAAATTAAAATTTAATACTGATTTGCATGTCTTCTTACTTTGATCTCCATTTCCATAAAATCATCATGGTCGTTGGAATTTTGTCTGAATATGCTAATTCTATATAAGAAAAGAAATACAAAAAAGAGATTTTTTACCTTTTTGGTCAAATGTCATGTTCAACAAAAAAAAAGGATTCCGATCTTATCCCGTTCTAACAAGTAACACCTGGAAAAAAAGAAATCAAAAATCCTTCCTAATCTTTTCTCAACACCTCGATATGAAATTAAGACAAAAACAAAAAGTTGGTTTCAGACAGAAAGTGAAGAATCGAGACAAGTGTGATGGTCTTCGTCGTAGGTTGAATAAAAAGACAGACTCAGTTTTGATTCCGGAAGAAACTGGGAATATTAAAAAAAAAAAAAGAAGGTAAAAATAAGAAGACTTACAGGAGAAAGAAGAAGAAGATGTGGCGATTTTTTGTAGACTGGGAAATGATTTCAGACTAGTGTTTGCTATTTATTTCATGGATTTTAATTGCCTACTATGAAGGCGATGTTAAAGATTGATGTTGACCAAGTTTTGATCAAAGCAAAAGAACAAAATTATAGATGGAATAGAGAGACTAATCTATATAAATCAAAAGCTTTAAACACACACACAAATTTGGATAGTAGGGATGGATTTGAGACAAGTGTAAGAAGAAATCACACCAACTAGTTTTCAACGTCAGGAGGATGATGAAGATGACATTATTTTATTTGTATTTTTTTTTTGGACAAAGAGATGGCATTATTTTATCCCACCAATTGTCACCCATTTTTGGAAACAAATGATATAATATTATTAAAATAGATTAAAAAAAAAATATTAATCGCTGTTAATATATAAATGCTAGATATTATTAATCATGTACAAATTGATTTAAATAAGTAAAAGGTGAATGAAATAACAAAAAAGTGGCTGTAGTATAGCGGTTAGTATCCCACGTTGTGGCCGTGGGGACCTGGGCTCGAATCCCAGCAGCCACACTTTTTTTTTATTTCCAGCAGGGGTATTTTCGACATTTTATTAATCACGTGATCATTAGATCTGGACCGTCCATTTCACTCCCCCGCCATTTCTCACTATAATAAATTTCCCGCCTAATCTCATCGTCATCTACAACCCTTTTACCGCCCAATTTCGCAGTCACTGGTTCATTCCTTTCTCTTCCTCTTCGAATCTCTCTCTCTCTCTAGACCCAAATTTTGAAACCATGAAAGACTATGATTTCGACGGCGACAAAGGTTAAAATCTCTCTTCTTCTCCGTTCTCGATAATCTCTTCCCTCTTTTTTTTCTCTGGGTTTTGATTTTCACATTTTTCTTATTGTATAGTGCTTGCCAAGGAATTTCTCGAGAATTTCGCCGACGCTAATGGCAGATCTAAGTACATGGAGATTCTCGTAAGTCTCCTTTCATTATCTTCAACCAATTTTTTTCTCTTCTAGGGTTTTTCGCGAATCTCCCTAATTTTAGGGTTTTTTACTCTATAAATTGAAATTAGTAAACTCAGTTTATGTTCTCTTTATGAATTTGTGTAGCAAGAGGTTTCAAATCGTAAGATTCGAGCTATTCAGGTCGATCTTGATGACTTATTCAATGTGAGTTTTTTTTTTTTCTATCTACTGTTGTTTCTTTTTTGGATGTTGCAATTGTAAAAGCCACGCATTTCTTTGATGTTGTTGTGTAGTATAAGGGTGATATTGAGGAGTTTCTCGGACGGTTAACCGAAAACACTCGCCGATATGTTTCCATTTTCTCCGCTGCTGTTGACGAGCTGCTACCTGAACCAACAGAAGCATTTCCAGATGATGATCATGATATTCTCATGACTCAGAGAGCAGAGGATGGGACTGATAATGCAGATGTTTCTGATCCGCATCAGCAGATTCCTTCTGAGATTAAAAGATTTTAGTAAGTTTGGATATAATCTATTTGTTGGACATAATCTTCATTGTTTGTGAATTACTGCTTGTAGCTTAGTTTGGATACTTTGATCACTCAATTTAGGTTGGCTTTTTCTTTCAAAACTTATCTAATGAATTTGTTTTTTACTCAGTGAGATTTATTTTAAAGCTGCTTCAAAGGGACGGCCATCTACCATCAGGGAGGTTAAGGCTTCACACATTGGGCAACTTGTTAGGATATCTGGTATCGTGACCCGTTGTTCCGATGTCAAGCCATTGATGGCGGTTGCTGTTTACACATGCGAAGAATGTGGTCATGAAATTTACCAGGTACCTACCTAACTATGTCTGCCAGATTGTAGTTTCTTTTTTGTTTTGTTAACTACTAACTTTGATTATCTTTCTTTTACATGTCAAATCAGGAAGTTACATCTAGAGTCTTCATGCCTTTGTTTAAGTGCCCCTCCAGCCGTTGTCGTCTTAACAGTAAAGCCGGGAATCCTATTCTTCAGCTCAGAGCTTCAAAGTTTCTTAAGTTTCAGGAGGTTCTGTTCTGGTCAATGAGTGCCATTTATGTGAATGCACTGATATCAAACTAATGAGTAAAACTCAATGTTTTGTAGGCCAAGATGCAAGAGTTGGCTGAACATGTTCCTAAAGGGCATATTCCGAGGTCTATGACTGTTCATCTAAGAGGAGAGTTGACTAGAAAGGTACCTT